CTCCATCAAATGCAAAACACTCTGGGATTATGTTTCACGAATTCATGCTTCTTAACATCAATGACCTGTCCAGTGTCCGTACATGTAAAAATGTTTGCATCAATGTAGGATGAATTATCTTCTGTTGACTGCTGATCTGAAGCTCAAATCAACAACATGCAAATTATTCATAAATTTGCATTTGCATGTGATCGAGTATACTATTTCAACGGAATCTATACAGAAAATCAAGAAAGTGTTTTACTGTTGAATGTGATAAGAAATTTTATTTGTTTTTATAATTTCAATAAAGTTATTGATGTTAGTGACAGTCAAAAAATCAGTAAAATCCACAAAGACTGTACTATCCCCGCGACACGACGTACGCACATTATGTACGCACGCGCAAGCACCGCATCATACGCGCATGTCAGTATGCGAACCGGGACATCGCGTAACTGCACGAGACGTGGCACATGGCACTTCTAACGACTGAGCTAACTCGCCCACCATTACTTTTGAGTCACTGCGATTTATTGTTTAAATTGTATTTTTTCAAAAATGCCTTCTACATAGCTGCTTATTCTATTTTACCCCAATTCTAATTTATGCATCTATCCAATTTTCCAATTGTTTGAGTTCAATTAGTTCACGCAATCTTATTACATTCAGGTTGTACTTTTGTAAATGGGCAAAATAAAATTTACCGTTTTGAAATTTAAAGAATTTATTGACATTAAGTTTTTTATTTTTTCACTCAATATATTAACTTTTCCACAGTCTTCTAGCCTTGTTCCCACAAAATTAAATGAGTTCTGTTTTTATTCATATCAACAATTACACATCTTTAACCTCTTCCTACCTTATTAAACTTAAGATTTTAACTTAAGTTTTTCTCTCAGCGCTTTCACTACGTAACTCCACAAAACAGGTTGGACAATTGCTTTCCGGATACTTTTTTAGGATGTTATTTAATATCATGGAAAATATTTGAGTGAGAAATTACAGAAATGTATTTAACTTTAAAGCCAGTTGGTTCTATCCTACAACAGTCACGTGAAATTATGTTGGACATGATTTCTGTTATATTTTTCAACCATTGCATTACATTATTATTATTTCATTCAACTTTGAAGCGAACATAAAAATAAATTAATTTAAAGTATTCATTGTTCATTTGAAAAAAATTTTATTTTGAAATAATATAATAAAGTTATATGCGTGTATAGATGGTGGCAAGATGTTTGTTGGCGCGCGTGTGTCGATGTTGTTTACATAACACGCTGGTCTAAACGGGGCATCGTTCAAGCTCTATTTGCATTGAGATATGCTGATAATTTGCTTCAATAATGTGCACATTCATGGCATGGATAAACAAATCTGCAAATATTGTATAATATAGACATATAAATTATATATATATATATATATATATATATATATATATATATATATATATATATATATATATATATTACGGATTCAGACAGTGAGGATGGAGATTTTTTAATTTTCTTATGAATCGGTTTTGACATTTTGTTAACTGTTTTAGATGAATGTCTAGAAAGGTGAGGAAAAATTAACAAATAATATATATATATATATATACATATATATAATATATATATATATATTATATATATATTGTATAATTATACGTGTATTAACACAACGACGTTTGCATGGCATCATCTAAATAATGTCTGACATGCTATTAATAAAATTATGTAGCGCTGATGATTATCAATTATCTCAATGATATCATAAAAATAATTGATTGTCACAAGATATCCTTTCCAATTTTTTCAAAGAAAATTTAACTGAGTTGACAAAATTCAATATTTTTGTCATAGTTTATTTGCTTAGTGTGGATAGGAAATCGGTTGAACTGCTGTACTCCAATTCGCTTCGCTGTCCGAAGAACACAACTCTTAAAATTATTCAAAAAATTTAAATAAGCCAGCAATAATAAATCATATATGGTGTCAGATTTGACCAAAATTTCAAAATCAAATTTACAAATAAAATAAAAAAACAATTTTTAACAAAAAAAAAAATTTTATTTGGGCAACTCAAATCTTTAACTTCATTGAATATTTTGTCTTAGATTATTGGCTTAGTTTGATTACTTTGATATGAATCAAACATCTACTGTTGCAGCTGCGAGATTCCAGCTAATACTAAAATACAAAGCAAGTTTGTTAAGATTTTAATTAATTTAAATTTGTTACTAAAATTTTGGAAAACTTTAGTAGTTGATGAAAATAAACTTTCATCGTGAGTCGCATGCAAACTTGATAACTTTAAATGCAAAAACTGAGGCTCTAATCTTACTTAACAATACAGAATCAAAATGGCTTGCAACAATTATTTATGTTTGCTCAGAAGCGTTCTTTAATTTTGATTTTCAGAGCGCTCAATATTATCTATCAGATTGCAAATAAGTCCAACGAGCTATGCCTAGTCACGAAGCGTTGAAACTAATCTCTTTAAAACAACATCATTAGGAAACTCCAGATTTCAAACTATTCTATAATAAATATGATCTGTCATTTAATAGTAACGTTGTTTCAATATTTTTAACACAAACTCATAAACGTCTTGTACCTTAAAAATATCTAACTTCTATTTTTTACGAATTCGATCACTGTTTCATTACGAAGACTATTAAGTCTAAACCAAACATTTATTGAAAGATGTTTAAAAATATTTTCTGGCTACGGCTGTTTCCGATTTTCAACGAATCACACAAAGCACTTCTCACCATCACACCGCCACGCCATTTGAGGTAAATTGGAATATCAGTTCATTGATTTCAATAATTTTCCACTCTTATCTGGAATTTCCACTCCTTTTTCGTTTGCAATGTTGTTTACATTGCAAATTCTTCCCCCCCCCCTCAAACTTCGATAAAACATCGGCAATCTCTCCTGATTCCCTTCCATACCATATTACCATAATGTTATATTTTGTCTACTTAATAAGTTCGCACGATACCCAGGATTAAAAAGTTTATCTTAATTCCACGATTAAATTTCATTTTTTAATGTAGAGAAACATCTCTTTGAATAGTATCAATATATTCATATGATGCTTAATATTCAAAGTCATATTTATATTCTGTACAAAAATCGAGTTTCTGTTACATTCACAATTCGTATTAACATGAAATCGTACGTAAAAAGAACAAAAAAGTACCAAATGGTATTAAGAGTTGACAAACAGACAAACATGCAAAAAAACAAGCAAACGAACAAACAAACGAATCAACAAACAAACGAACAAACAAAATCACAAGCAAGAAAGAGAACAAAGGATGGTGCACGATTATTTATTTTCTCAACCAAACTTACAATTTCTCGTGTATAAAGTCGAACGTACGGACAGAAATAAACAAATGAATAAATAAATGCAATGTATATGCATGTGTGCATCTGTGTGTGCTCCCCTAATTTCACAAGTAACATGCCATATTTGGCCAAATGTTCCTACGGGTACATACAGTCACACCGAACAGCACATACAAAACATACGTAATAATGAATTTATATATTTAAACATAAAAGAATGGAAAAATTTAGATAGTATGTATATGTGAGGCTGCGTATATTCATATACTTTCTCATTTATTTTATATTTTTATTCCTAGAATATTTGTGTATTGATGTTTATGTGTGCGCACCTGGGAAAGCGCATTAATGCAATGATAAAGATATTTTAAAAGATTTATAGGACTTCAATGCCGAGTAAACTTAAGCATGTAATCTTCCTTGACTGGACTTCTTTTTCATCCACGCACCCTCGGCGAGTTCGCTGCAAACTTAATACATTCCACCGTCAAACGGAGACAAACATTTGTGAGCTTTTACAAATTTTATTACAAAAATATTATTTTCACAAAAATATAATATTCGGCATCACGTGAATCTACGTACTCATTACGTCATACTTGAGAGCTAGCGTACATATGTTTGATTGAGCACGGATTAAATATGAATCTTGTTTTTATAACTTTAAATTTTATTACCAGCGTTTGTTAATCAAATCAAAAAAAATTCATTTATTTAAATCCGAAACACAAAATGAAAATAAAAGAAAGGATTTGAGATTGTGAGGATTTACGGAGATCCCATAAGAAAATCAAAACTTGTACAGACCACCGTGAAAAGATATGCAATTTAAAAAATTGTTGAATGGGAATATTTAAAAACGGCGATGCGGTTTGGAAATTTGTAATCAATTCCTTCACTCATTCAATCTTTTGTTTAACCATTCTAATTTTTTGCAAATCTCAAAGAGTAAACTTTGTTGGAATGAAATTAAAATCGTTTTGAAATTAGTTACGCATGCACATCTTTAAAAACTTTGAATCATTTCATATTTATACGTGCAAATAAAAGTCTGAGCGCATAAACCAGAGCGTTCTAACAATAACAAAAGCATGGGACCTGGTACAAAGAGTCGTACATAAAAACAAATTAAACTTATAAACTACATTAGCGCTAAAGTGAAAAGCATGGAAGAATAATCAAGAATAATACAGAGCAAGAAGCATATAAACAGCAAGTGTTTACTGCCCCATGCTTATTTTATAACATCAATACAACAACAACAACACACGACAACAAGCATACCAATGCAGGAATATAAGAATACAACACAATTTAAACAAACACACGCAACAGCTAACATACTAAGCATAACGACAAACAAACAAAGAGTGAACATACAACAACAAAAGCGTGCAGCGAACTTATGATTACAAATGTCAACAACAAGCCAGCCTTAATAAACAAATAAATGATACCACTACAACAACAATAACAACAGCCACAACAAACAAAAATTACAATGACATCAAAAACAGCAGTCCCAACGACAAGCATTAAAAACATTACTACGAAAGAAGCCAGGCCTAGGAGAACAAACAGACATAAGGAACCGTTTACAAAAGCGCATGTAACAGAGCGCACAGCAAGACTTTATAAGAATGTAATAAACATTGGAGCGTTCGTGGGCACATGGAGGTCGGATCAATTTTCTTCGATATGGATCACTGCAGTTTGAAAAGGAGCAAGTAAGTAGTTGAGTAAGTAGCAAGTGGACAAGTAAGTAGTATGTAGACAAGTAGATAGTATGTAGACAAGTAGATAGTATGTAGACAAGTAGATAGTATGTAGACAAGTAGATAGTATGTAGACAAGTAGATAGTATGTAGACAAGTAGATAGTATGTAGACAAGTAGATAGTATGTAGACAAGTAGATAGTATGTAGACAAGTAGATAGTATGTAGACAAGTAGATAGTATGTAGACAAGTAGATAGTATGTAGACAAGTAGATAGTATGTAGACAAGTAGATAGTATGTAGACAAGTAGATAGTATGTAGACAAGTAGATAGTATGTAGACAAGTAGATAGTATGTAGACAAGTAGATAGTATGTAGACAAGTACATAGTATGTAGACAAGTAGATAGTATGTAGACAAGTAGATAGCATGTAGACAAGTAGATAGTATGTAGACAAGTAGATAGTATGTAGACAAGTAAGTAGTTTTTAGACATGTAAGTAGTTTGTAGACAAGTAAGTACTTTTTAGACATGTAAGTAGTTTGTAGACAAGTAGGTCTAGGTAGTATGCAGACAAGTAGGTAGTAAGTAGACAAGTAAGTAGCAAGTAGAAAAATTAGTATTATGTAGACAAGCAAGTAGTATGCCGACAAGTAAGTAGTATGTAAACAAGCAGTTTGTGTGTAGACAAGTGAGTAGTAGACAAGTAAGTAGTATGTAGACAAGTAGATAGTCAAATAAACAGTTGTTAGACAAATGAGTAATAAGGGAAGTTGATAATTTAGCGGAAAAAGAGAAAGAGAGAGGTAAGTGTGAAGAGTAGCATTCCATCAATCCACAGCCACGATATGCAAGGTTCAATTTTTTTATTTGAAAGACATTTGTGACAACCTCAGATGGACATTCATTTGTATATTTTTTTCTAAATCAATTTTATTAACTTTAAAAGTTTTTATTTATTTTATATTTTTGATGACGTTAAGAATATCAAATTTTTATTTACACAGGCCAGATGCACCCATGCGGTTCGAAAATCGTTGGCAAAATTTGGGAAATATGCAAAGAAATATGGGAAGGTGAGAGATGGCCAAAGGACTGGTGCAAGTCAATTGCAGTCACAATACTTAAAAAAAGAGACCTTACTGATTCCTCAAACTACCGTACAATAGCACACATTCCACGTGCATGGAAAATGATGTTAAACAAAAGAAAAGGAATAATAAAAAAGAATCTGATGGAAGAACAGGCAGGATTTAGAATTGATTATAGTACTGTTCAACAAATTCTGATATTGAGATTATTAGCAGAGGACAGATAATCAAAAAACAAAAGTTTGTATCACTGCTTCATAGGTTTTAAGAAGCGTTTGATTCAGTCTAGCACTATTTGAACACCAGGTAAACTAATAAGAATTATAAAAAATTTGTACCAGAAATCAGTAACGGCAGTAAATATGGTGGAAAAAATGAAAAGCAATAACACTGAAGGAATTGAAATACAGGGAAGAAAAATTAACGACCTAAGACTTGCTGATGATATAGATTTACTGACAGAAACCGAAGAAGACAAGCAAGAATTAACTAGAGAACTTTATGAAAGCGGAAATAGTTATGAACTAATGATTAAAAAAAACAAAAGTTATAGTAATGTGAAATAATACCCAAACTGACATAAAGGTCGATGGAGAAAATACTGAACAGGTAGATCAGTTGGAAGCCTGATTACAAGAGATAATGAGCTAAGATAAGAGATAAGCATGGAAATCAAAAGAAGAATTGGCATCGCAGAAGGCACGTATGGAACACTGAATGGAATATGAAAAAACACAAAAATATCACTTCAGAAAAAACTAAAGATAATAATAGATTCATGTGTAATGTCAGCATGCAAAACATGGACATTGAAGAAAGAAGACAAACGAATACTAGGTGCATTTGAAATGAAGTACTACAGAAAAAAGTATAAGTGTCCAAATTAACAGTATGAAGACGATAACGACGAGAATATTAGAAAGAAAAATGTTTTTTGGACACATCTATAGGATGAAATATGACAGGTTCATAGAACCGGTTGTGTTTGCCAGAACTGAAGGAAAAAGAAAGAAAAAAACTCCCACAAGAAGATGGCTATATGATATTAAAAAATGAAACATATGGATGACAAAAAAGCAAACCGAGTCAAGACAGGGTTTTCGGGAAAAAAGATAATGCTAATGATAATGCTCGACGGTCTTCGGAACTTCGGTCAATGGGAAACATTGGATGAGTGGATAGATAAACATGTACCCATCGGTTCAATTCAAAGTTCGCAGGCACCCAACATTTCAAATCAAAGTTCGCATTTATTTAGCAGGTTACATACATCTCGCAATTCACACACACGAGAAACACTTAATCAAATTGAAGTGTTTGCTGTAGATACTTGAAACTAATTTGACTAACTAAAGTTTATTAATGAAGAAATAAAAATTACTTAAATCATCGTTTGAATGAGTTTTGGAAAGGAAACATTAAAATGTTTCAACAACAAAAATAACAACATCAACAACAATAACAACAGCATTAATATTAATACATTAACAACCGATAGTGGACATATTGCAGCCGCATGTAGAACGTCGTGTGGAAACGGAGATGCGGGTGTGGTTATGATGGCATGCACACACGACAGGCACTTATTGTTTATGTCGCTAGCGTGAGTCCCGCACATTCAGCCAGCTACCTGATATGTTGTTTCTCTCCATCCAATTAACCATTCACGTTAGGTAATTGAAGATTTCATTCAATAAATCAAATATCAAGATCTGCGTGTTCGTGACTCTGTGTGCTGTGTGTGCATGGTCGCGTGTTTGTATATATGCACGTTTGTATGTGTGCATGTTTGTATGTGTGCATGTTTGTGTGTGTACGTGTTTGTATATGTGTGCGTGTTTGTATATGTGCATAGCTGCATATGTACGTGTGCCTGCATGTGTATTAGGTACATATATATATTGGTACGCGTGGCTGTTACGTATGTATGTCTGCGTGGCTAGTGGAGCACTGGAATGTTTTATTGTGCTATTTTTTGTGTTTCATGTTGCACTGGCATTGAAATTAATGCCGTGGCAGAGAAGTGTGATGCAAATACTCTCATATGGTTAAACCTAATGATAACGATAATGAAAATTAAAATGAAATGAAGTTTGTTCGAAACGGCTGTGACGATGTTGACGACGATGATGATGACGATGGTGATGATGACGATGACGATGATGATGGTAGTTATTCCGCAATACTGATGATGATGAAGGTGAAGATGGCGATGAAGATAATAATAATAATAATAATAATAATAATAATAACAACAACAACAACAACAACAATAATAATAATAATGTGGATGAAGATGATGAGAAGAATGATGTTTGTGGCGAGAGTAAGGATGAACAGATGTGCGGATGAAGAAAAGATAGTGGGGGTGACAATGCGATGCTGCGTGGTGGTAATGATGTGAGTGATGATGACGACGACGATGACGATGATGATGATATTGATGACGTCATCATTCATTCACAGTCCACGGAAGGGTTGCTATGTTTGCAATGGAGTCCACTGAAAATAATAAAATAAGAATAAACTTTAAAAACTTTTACGATAATATTAAATAATAATATTATCTGAAAATTTTTAATATATTTCAATAGAAGACAGGCAAAACAATAAATAAAAACAAAATAATAATAATAATAATAAAAACAAAATTATAATAATAATTAAAACAATAACAATAACAACAACAACAACAACAACAAAATTTACAATTGTTACATTATCTGTAACATTTCTTCTATATTTCATTATAAGAAACGCAAAACGATAGATTAATAGGTTTATAAAAATAGCAAACACGATCTCACATTTACAAAACAACCCCGTTACTTTAATATGGAAATAAAATATAATATAAGGCTAAAATCATCTTATTACTCAATCAGTAGAAATCCCATTACGTCTGTCGTGGAAATATGTAAGATTGTTGTTTTATTTATTTATAAATAAATACATAAATATATTTATTTTTATTTATATTTATTTATTTATGTATTTATGTATTTATTCTTTTGATGTCTCTCTGACGTAGGGCAAAAAAAGTTGATTACCTGATGTTCGCTACTTTGTTTCAATTAGGCTCTCAATCATCACACCACTTTCCACTGCCGTTCATTCGCCACATGATGTTTACACACATAAACACACACACACACACATGCATAAACAAACACACACACACATGCATGCATACGTACCTACACATGTACACACACACATAAACACACACACATACACTCATATATAAACAAACACACACACATGCATACGTACCTACACATGTACAAACATACATACACAAACACATACATAAACAAACACACATATACACGCGCACGTACGTACCTACAGATGTACACACACATACACATACATGCATGCACAATCATTCACAGACGTACACTCACCCCATACACAATCATACAATATTTAACAACACGAATACCCAGGCTTACATATATACAGGTAATCCTCACGGCATATGAGATGTGTTTGTCATATTTTTGGACTCATTTGTAACATTTTCGTGAAAAAATGCTAAAAATTGTATTTGTTTTTTCTATTATAATGTTGAAATAGAACTGAAATAGAACTAAATACTCAATTAAGTTGTGAGTGCAAAAAATTAAATACGAATAGTTTTTATTTTTTTCAATTTTTCCCATGAGAACTGATGAAGCATTTTTCAGGCATTTATCGTTTTTTTGTTTTTTTTCTCGAAAGTTTGACTCGTAAAGTCATAATTTTAAATTTGGCAATCGATTCAAATTTGTTTTGGGATGCTTTTGATAACAGTTCCCAATGGAAAATGTTATGCTTCTTATTTAAAAAGCAAATCAAAATAGTTTTTACACATGACATATAAGGCAATTTAAGAGAATTCAAGAACATTTTTTTAAAGTTTCCAATTTGTAAAATTTTGTCCCGGAAAAACTCAGCAACCAGCACTTACCTTCAAGCAGGACCTTTTAACACGCGTATTAAAATTTGTTTCTTAAATAATTTCGAAGCTTGCATGCATAAAAACTTGAATACAAAATATTGAAAAAACCGATGCAATTTTTAAAAGTCCTTTTATATTCAAATAAAATAAATGTAAAATATTAAAATAAAATATGAAAATACGTGTACAAACATGTAAACACTGTACAAACATGCAAACATACAATCAGAGAAACATGCAAACCTACATAGAACAGTCATGCATGACAGCCGTCCATAACATTATATCATTTGCTTGTTTGTTGATGCTTTCAATGTAATATAGGATTTTTTATTTTTCAATTATGTGTGTAAGTGTAACGACATATGAAGCCTGGTTGTACTTGGAAAAGTTGATCGAAACTACTGCTAACTGCTATGAAGTTGTATCATTTGCTTCAAATTTATTTACAGAGGCATCGATAGAACTATTACAATTGGCCAGAAAATGCCAACAAAGTGCGATAATAAAGCAAAGAGGCAAATAATAATAAATAGCGCTAAAAAATTATTTTTCTGCAAGCGTGTTGTGACTAACAACCGCAAGAAACGTGATACTGCGATTTCGCATTGTGTTGTTTTTTTTTCAAAGGTCTCTTAGGTTTTTTTTTTTTATTTCTCAATGTTGTTGTTGGTGGCTGTTGTCGTTTTCAAAACTGCTCCATCATTTAATTACTAACAACTTTATGACTTAACTTTATTTCTTCACTGTTGTTAATGTTAATGCGTAGAAAGTGGCACAGAATAATTAGAAAGAATTAGTAAGTGTTAAGTTAATCATGAAGCACACACACACACACCACAGACACACACACTACACACACGCACGCACACAAGTTGCATATTGCATACAATTACAGAAAACTTTTGAGACACGGACACTTCTTCTTTACAAAATTAAATACGATGAACAATGAGCATACTTAGTTGATATGTGCTGATCTCAAAATAATCGGAATAGCACTAGACATTTTTTTTTTGTTTTTATGTGAATGGAATAGCAGAGCGAGTGAAGATCACTGAAGAAAATGTTGGTCAACTTGAACAATTGTTAAGTCTGGCTAAAAAGTACTAAATATCAGATGTTGAGTGATTCATACCCTTTGTCTCGTCTTCTTATAAAACTTGAATTGATAAAACAGGATGAACAAGGTAGATGTTTTGCCTATAATTGTACCAAATTTTATTTATTTTTCTATTCTAACCCAAAAAAACCATTGTGATTACAGTAAAAGTTAAAACATGAACATGAATTAGAATTAAATTACGGATCTGTTTTAAAGTTATCCTTCTGTTCTAAATCAGTTTTTCGGAAATAACAGTGATTGAACACAGTTGAAGGATATGCTGTCAGCTGCGAAAAGAATAGGATGTCGAATAAGCCTCAAAATTTTTTTTTATTCTTCTTTTCTGATACTTTTCCAAAAAACCCATTGTGATCACAGTAAAAGATGAGATTTCATAAAGACATAAAAACAATGAAAATACTTTATTAAGGCCGACGGGTGTTACCATGATGGTGGGCTATTGTTGGACTGATGAACAAATGTGGGAGAAAAAAGAAACGCTTTTGCCTAAACTTTATTTTTCTGAACTATTTCAATGACTTATCAAAAAGTTTGTAATTTAAAATTATTGAAAACAAACTAATTTGCAAACAAACCTAAAGCTAGAACGTTAATTAACTAGGAAAAATTAAAATCTCAAAATTTTGTTCACGTGTAAAATTTTGACGTGCCAGTTCAAATATTTGAAGTCAGTCTGCTCAAAATATGTTACATCACTTACAAATCACTCAATTATATTCAATCGAGTTTTAATTTTTCGACATAAATATTTTCAGCATCTGATTTAATACAAATTTTAATATAATTTTCTCAAATTTTGTAATTTTGTATAACATATACAGACCGCCGCTCAAAAAGACAAAAAATCGAGTTTTATATGACTCCACCGCAATGAAGTTTTGTTCAAGTACGTATTCACGCATTCAATCACTATTAATTTCACGTTCAGGCTTGTTTATATTCTCACGTTGTAATCTGTGTGTTCGTTTTCAATCATTTGAAAGAAATTCTGCAATGTTAACCGCAAAAGAACCAAGGAACGACCGTCATATTTTCTAATTATTGAAAAAAATTAAATTGCCGGGCCCTGGATTAGGCGAATCACATGTAAGTCTGCATGTATGTCTTCAGCTTATAGAGAAATATTAGGTAGGTACATGAAACATTTGCAGGCAGGAATGTGAATAACTATCGTTTCATTTCTAAAAATTTCGTCATTAAATTGGAATCGGTGCAAATATTAAAAAGAAGATTATTTACAAACGAATGAATGAATGAATGAATGAATGAATAATAATTTTTATATTATATTTTATTATAAATTTTTTAACATCAGTTTTTGAACTTTTGAGGTCACTTTTAAACAGTGTTTATTACTAATGTGCACCCACGCCATTTCTATAAAAAAAAAATTTGCTCTTTGGAAAGACGTACGAATACATTACACACACACACATCCACAAACACACACACACACACACACACACAAATTCCACGCACATACACACATTCCACGCACCACACAATTTACAATATTATTGTAATCCATTACAATATTTTAATCACATTACATTACACACTTTACATTACATTACAATTACATTACAATTACAATTATGAATACATCACACACACACATTCACACACACAAACACACACAGACATGTTTATACAACATATATAACGTGTAAATGTCCATACATCGTGTGGGCTGTTATTATGGAAGTCAATGAATGCATTGCATATGACATGCGTCATTCAGATGGTCTTGAGAAGCAGTGAGAAGGTAGTCCTACATTTTACTTACTCCGCAGATTATAAATGTTCTCCTGCCAATGATTCGTTAGCGCAGTTCAGGTTGGCGGACACCAACACCCTCAAGATCAATGTTACTAATTAATTTTTTTATGAATTCATTGGTTTGGCCGTGAGAGCATCGTTAATGCTGTAACTTTTTTTCATTAGGTTTAAATTTTATTTTATTATTATTATTATTAATCGTTCTATTATTTTACGTAGTACATTTTATCGTTGAATTAGTTTAAGATTGATCTGTCAATCATTTAAATTTTTATTACATAAAGTTGTTAACATTTCATTAGATAATATTTGTTGAATATTAAAAAAACATAATCTCAAAATTTTAATTTATTTTTAATAATTTGTCGTTTTGAAAGTAAAAATATGTTGAGGTTGAACTTAAAATGGAGAAAAGGCTTCATTCTCAATTACACGACGGTCAACATTCTTCTCATTGCGCATTCAACGGGGATGTTTTTAGAAGGCAAGTGCATTCAATATTAATTCAAATATTTCTCTTTCAGATGTTATTCAGCTTGTGTGCTGCTTTGTTATCGTTAATGCTGATATTAACACTAATACCTAACAATTGGCCTAAGATGAATGCCATTTTAAGCAAGTTGTGCGTTCCAGCATCCATCATCTTAAGTTTATGCAAGGAGGAACAATAAATTTAAAGTAGGTAGGGCATCTTGATGAAGTCATTATTAATATGAAAAATTTGATATAATGCATCATTAATATTAATAAGGCGTCTTTTAGTGTTCTTGGCGTTGTTTGGGATGTATGCGTACGGGGTTGTTGTTTGTTGTTGTTTATGTTGTTGTTGTTGCTTATGTTGTTGTTGTTGTTTGTTGTTGTTTATGTTGTTGTTGTTGTTGTGATGCATGTGCAGTTATATTTTGTCGATGCTATACTGGTTCATTTTTTTGTCTTTTAACGATACGTGAAGGTTTTTATAACGCTTTTTTTAACTGATTCAGTTGTTTGCAGTGCGCGTGTTTGAGGTAACAGTTGTTTTTTTTATGAGATTTTGTTTTGTTGAATGCGTTGTTGTTTGCAGAGTATAAAATATTGTTATTGTAAATAGGCAAATTATTGTCGTCGTTAATTTCACATAACAATAATAAAAAATTTTCGCACTCTGTTGATGATTTCGTTAAAACGATGTATAAATTGGAAAACGAACTCACCTAATTGCGTTAAGAGAGTTTTGTAAAAATTAATTAGCAAATTTAACACATTTTGGTCTATAACGTGGTGTTAAACATTCACCTCCATCGTTGCATCAATACGGTCAATCGAACGATACCACCAAACCACATCACACCACAACACATCACACCACCACCACCACCTCAATGACAGAATACTGCATGCACGAATCTTTCATGGCCAACTGTACATCCCCAACATCTTCATCGGCTGCATCGTCATTATCGACTTCATCACTGCAGTACATTCCATCAACATCATCCCTATCTTCATCACCCCCCACTCCAATGATCGACTTGGTGATACTGATGACGTCAGCAAAGTTTGGGAGGATGAGGATGGGTCGGTGCATAGGTGAGGGATACAGTCTGGGTTGCTCCAAGGACGTTCTCCCCTACATGGACATGATGTGTTCAGGGCGCAAGTTTTGCAATGTCAGTGTTCGAAATCTGGTAGACATACATCCGTGCCAAAGAGACTTTGCTTCGTATCTGGAGGCCAAATACGTCTGCGTTGAAGGTAGGTGCTTGCGTAATAACGTGTGTGCGTGTGCGTGTGCGTGCGTGTGCGTGTGCGTGCGTGTGCGTGTGCGTGCGTGCGTACGTGTGCGTGTGCGTGCGTACGTGTGCGTGTGCGTGCGTGTGCGTGCGTGTGCGTGAGCGTGCGTACGTGTGCGTGTGCGTGCGTGCGTGTGCGTGCGTGTATGTGTCGTTGTTGTCGTTATCGTCAATTCCCTACTAATCGATTCACAGCGATATTAATAACGCAAACACAGTGCATGCAAACATTATATATATATATATATACATATATATACATATGTATATATATATATATGTATATATATATATGTATATATATATATATATGTATATATATATATATGTATATATATATATATATACATATATATAATAACTTCATAATGTTAAAACATTGCTAGTCATATTATATAATTTTGTGGCCATAGTTATGCGGTTGTGGTATAGTGAGCAGTACGCACCGAAGTGAGGAGCCGTTTGAATGTGCGAAGACGTAAGCAGATTGTTTTTGGAAGGTGAATTGTTGTTGTGTAGATAGATGCAGAAATATGAATAAAATATTGCAGGCCATGTTGGTGAAATGTAGTTGTAGGATATCTCTATGGTGAAGTGGATGTGCACGAGTTGGAGTTGCGTGCATAAATAGGACAGGCAGTAGAAAAGAGTAATATTCCCAATAATAATAATAATAATAATAATAATAATAATAATAATAATAATAATAATAATAATAATAATAATAATAATAATAATAATAATAATAATAATAACAATAATAACAATGATAATAATTTGTGGATAATTTTTTGCGTATGTAAATGAAGTGAACAAACAGAGCAGTGTTATGCTGCTCTATCTTGCACGGCGACCGGCAGTTTGAGACGCACAAGAAGCAGCAGCACACGCGAGTGACGTGTGTGCGTGTGTCAGACGCCATCTCATCCCGGAGTAATAACTCACGTCTAATGTGCACCAGTGTAATGATGGATGTTTTCAATTTCATCCCAACCCCATTGTCATTATGTTTGTATTTATTTAAATGCTCTTCTTTTATTCACCACACTCCACTGCCTCTCTTTTATGACGCACATGTACAGTACACACAACACGCGTTTGTGGTGTGTGCCAGCCCTCATAAATGTTGTTTCTATAGGTGGAAATGTTTTTATTCAACTATTAAAACGCCGTGTTCTCGTGTTATTTTTCTTTTTTTTCTACTGTATTCATGAAACCAAATTCGTATAAATTGTAAATGTTCAAGTACTTTTGTATTACAAAATATAAAAAATTTCACTTTTTAAATTTTTTTATAGTTTTAAAATTGACAACAAATTTGGCATTTATTAATTTTATTCCAAGTCTTTCTACTTTACAATCGACGATAATTTTATTGTCTCAAATCATTTTTTTGTTAAAATTTATTCCACATGCTTCTGTAATTTTTTAATTTGTTTTTTTTTCGAGATTAAATAATGACGAAAATTTATAGTGAAACTGGAACTAACTTGAAAACATGTCTTACACTAATTATGCAAATAATGCGCGCACACACACACACACATCATATATATATATATATATATATATACACACACACACACACATACACACACACACACACATATATATATATATATATATATATATATATATATATAGTGAAAGATTATGTTATTTTTTAAAATAAAACCATCAAACAATCAATTCAAATTCTCACACATTTCATGAACTCGCTTTATTCATTGTAAAAAAAATCAATTTTTTTACATATTCAATTGAAATTATATTTTGAATAGAAAAAATAATATAGGTAAAGAAAGAAAATTGAAAAAGAATAATCTTAGAAGCAGCACCTGCTCAATAATTATTCCTCTTCTTGCTCTCCAACAAAATGAATCACCATGCACGAAACTTCTTCATCCGGTTTCTCTCTATAGCTGACTGAAATTATTTGTATGATCGAATTTGTTAATATTTAATTATTTTATTATTTTCACTCTGTGGACTAATTTTCAAAGATTTAATTTTACAAATAAACGCTTGAAGCTTCGATAAAAAGGTAAATATGCAAAAAAATTGAAATACGAAAAAAAACAGCAGAGGAAAGTTCTGAGTTTCAATTTAATGAAAAGTAGCACTCTCAAAAAATTTTGGAAAACGAAAAATCAAAAGCGAGGAAGAGCGCAAATCAGTCCTGGAAAAGAAACCATGAAAGCGGCAGGCAGTATTTTTCAATCTTTTGTAATAATTCCTCACGAGTGAGACCATCTGAACTGTCAAAATTATGCGAAGTAAAAAGATAAATCAATATTTAGAATGTAGAGCAAGCAAGTTGCAGTAAACAACAGAACAATCCAGCATGGAAATTTTTTATGTTGAAATTATTGGATGAAAGTGGCAAAAGTAACGGATGAACGATCCACTATTGTCAGTCTAGCGTAAAAAATTGTCGGTGACTCTAAAAACTTGAATAATAAAAAAAATGATAAAAAGAAATTGGAGATATTTAAATTGAAGTGCTGCAAAATACTGAAGACAGAGGATGAGGAATAACGTTGGAAAGAACCAGTTTTAAATACAAAAAAATTGTGCGGAAAATTCAAAGTAAAGAACCATGACTCTCTCGACACATTTGCAGAATGAATGCTGGGTGGCATGAAAAAATTAGAACCGTAATAATAAGGAAAAGAAACCAGAAGAGAAATTTGAAAACATGCCAAAAAGTAGATGAATGACATTACAAAATAAACTGAAGTGGAAAGGTTAAATTTAATAAAATTAACCACAGATAAAAAATTGTGGAAACAGACAACAAAGATGGACATCAATAGCCTCAACAGCCTTAAAACCCTCACACACGTTAGTTAGGAGAGTTGAGTTAGAGCTAGTTGGTCGAATGTTGGTTTTGGTTGTAGAGTTAGTAATTGTTCAATAATGATAAGTAAACCATTACAATAGTAACAATCTTGCCAACAAACGACAGAATCGCACCGCAGATAGCAGCATACACTTTGGAAGTCACTAACTATTTACAAAGTGGCAAATAAAGAGGACAGTACCTGTGGAGAATTTATCGTCATTTCTATCAAATTCGTCAACGTTCATGAATTAATGTGATATTAAGTTTTGGATGCTGCTGAAAATTTATGCGAGCTTATGAAAAAAAAAATGAAAGTAACAAATTCACGATTATGAAAGAAATTTTTAAGACAATGTGTCACTCAAACAAAAATGCAATTCCACGCAAGTGCGTGCAAAAGGATGTTTGGAAGGACCGTACAGTGAAATAAACATTAAATGGCTCCACACTCATTTGTCTTCACTTGCAAAATATTCGAATGTCAGAAAACTTTTGAATGTAAGTAGCTCGGTGCTTCTCTTAATGACAACAAACGAACTTTTTTGTAACAACTTCTTGGGCTCTTTTGTTTAATGTTGTTTCTTTAAAATTGGCTCGATGTATTTAAAAATTTCACAAGTGTCCCAGTTTCTAATTAATTAGATGTGCATCTAACTCCTACCTGACATTTTAGTCAGACGAACAGGTCCGTTAAATATCTATAATAACGTTTTGTTTCAATATCATAAAATACATATACATGTTAAATGTGTGTTTTTGTGTGATAGCTGGATAGCTGTGGTAGCGCATGCATCAGCCATACAGTGAATTCAATGTTGTGAATTATTTAATGATGTTAAAATTGGTTTTATTTGCAGAAATTATTAAATTATTTTTTCAAACTGTTTCATTCTCTTAATTTAAAATTTCATTTTTTCAAAATTAGATATATTTATAATTAAAATTTATTCAAATCAAGACTGGTTAATTCAATAATAATCATCTTTAAAAAATATTGAAGCATGCATGTTAATTCTCAAGGCAACCAAAATCACGTGGATTTAAATATATCTTGGGATTTATAAGAAGAACAATGGTCAGCAGAGAGAAGCATATTATACTGAAACTGTATAAAACCCTGGTCAGACCTCATCTGGAGTACTGTGTTCAAGCATGAAGCCCATATATGCAGAAAGATAAGGAAGTTTTGGAAAAAGTACAGCGTAGAGCCACAAGAATGATTAGAGAAAAAATGGAATACGATGAGAGATTGAAAAAATGCGACTTGACATCATTGGAAAAAAGAAGATGTAGAGGAGATCTAATCCAAACATAAATTGATCACGAATAGGAAAACAACACCATACTCGAGATTTTTCAGGCTAGTAAACAGTGATAAAATACGAGGACACTGATTTAAGATTTTCAAAAACTCGGATGGAAAAATAAAGAGCAGATTCTTCAGCAGTAGAGTGGTCAACGCCTGGAACGAGCTAAGCGATGATGCAGTCTCTGCGAATTCACTCAACAGCTTCAAAGCCAAACTCGGACAGATAGGATATTAGGAGATCTAATTAGTAGTGGTTCTTACACAGACCATAGTCTTCTGAACTACTTTAAACCCCGTTAATAATAATAATAATAATTAAACAAAGTAAAGTTCTATAATATATTGATTTTTTTTTATAATTTTGTGGGTAATCAATAACATATCATGGAGATAATTTAAAAATATTAAACCAAGTCCAACTCGATTAGACGATTTTGAAAGGAATAAATTTGAGAAGGTTAATTAATTTATTACACATGTCTAGTATAGGTTGGTATCTAGAGTAAAGTGTAAGATTTCTATCCTACTTTTAATCATTATTGTTACTGATCAATAACTAAAGTATTTTTTATTTGCGAATTATAAAATTTATTCTCAAAATGATGTTAGCCATCAAACTAAATTCTATTAGCAGTTGCTGTCAAAACTGACAGTCCATCGTTAAAATTTATCTGACATTTATATGTTTACATTAACCCACATACATATTTATTATTACGTGACTGAACTTCGTTGAGTATTTTATTGAAAGATTAAACAGATTGATAACGAGGGGCTTAAAATCATCGAAGTATTAATTGCGCGTTATCAGCTCTGGATGCAGTGGAGGCAGGTTCGTGATTGAAAGATGCACCAGCCACTTGTCAACGCTCGCTCATCTCTGCTCCTGCTTTTATTCCTGTTTTACATTTTCTGGTTTAGAGTGTTAATTCTTATTGAAAAACATGCTTAAATTCATATAAAATAATGTACGATATGAGGTCATGAATATTTTCTTTAGTTCTGTATCGAACAAGTACTCTTCCTTCAATAACTGAAAGTAAATAATTATTTAAAATAATAAATTAAAAAAATGTGCATTTAATTTTCAGTGCAGTACACACAGAACAAATGCACAAACATGCTCAGACGGATAACAAACACATCCAAAAATAGCAACAACATCATCAACAGCAACAACAACATAATGTTTCAAACTAATACAGTCGGCAAACATGTAAAAAACGGCACATTTTTGCCTAACAAAAATATCAAGAAGTACAAAAATTTCGGAAACAGCAGTTACGACGGAAGTTACATTAATGTTATTCTTAACAATATTGGATACATAAGGGAAGAAATTACTTTTCACGCTGAACGAACGACTGCAAAGAAATACTCATACAAAGTGAGCAGAATGAAACGACATCGTCAACAAATTGCTTCCGTAAAACTACATTCTTTAGTTAAGAGATCCGTTGAAGAAGAATCCGTCAAACTTAAAAAACCTCTAGGGACCAAACAATTTATGCAACAGCAACTATCAAAACAACAACATCATCGACAACAACATCAACAACAACATTATCATCAACAACAACAGAATCACCAGCAGCTACGTCAACTACAGCAACAAAAACAACTTATACAAAAGAATAAACTACAACAGCAACAAAAACAATTGCATCATATCTACAAACATCTTCAATCATCTTCTAATTTACGACAACGTTTTCGTCGTGGCTCACTTCAACAAAACTGCACCGCTGCAGCTACAAAGTTAGCCAGTATTAGTTGCAATAATTTGAATTCTTTTAAAAGAATTGGTAAGAGGCAAATGCAAAAACGAGAACTATTCCGTTTACATCGCTTTCAAAAATCATCACAATTACATCAACAGTCACAACAGCAACTACTCCAACAACAACAATCATCAACACTACACCAACAAAACCGGCAACATCTAGAAAATGATCTCCACAAAAAACAGAAAAGACATAAAAACAAACGAAGCCACAACAACATCTTCAACAACTACAACTACTACTACAACGGCAACAGCAACTACTACAGCAGCAACAAAAACGTCAGATCTTTGAACTGTCCGTGGAAAATTAAAGCATCAACGGGTCAACAAATAACATTGAAAATTATTTTCATGGAACAAAGTTAGCGGGTTTATTACTGATGTTTTATTGGCTAGCACGGTGCCTGTTGTACGTTCGTATGTTAGTTTAGTACATTCTACTCGATGCTTGTTGTGATGTTTTATTTTCATATAGGTAATGCAAAGCATATTTTTTACAATTCTTTTTTTGTCTAAATTTTACAAAATAATCTCTTAATTTCTTTAGTTGACTGAATATACAAAACAATTTTTCAAATTTCTTTTTTTAATCGAGTGTAGCCAAATATTTTTGCAAAATAAAATAAAATGTAAAAAAATTAATCTATAATGAATAGGACAAAAATAAGCAAACACATAACATACGATTTAAATTTTTATTTATTCACTTACCTAGTTCACCTATTAATTAAAATGAATCTTCTATAAAATTAATTTTTCAATAACAGATATTTAGTCAATGAAAACGAAATTGTTGATAAAACAATCTTCATCTCAAAATGGAAACGATGAAAATAAAATATCACCCAGTCAACTGAACCTAACTATTGCACAACATTTATTCAATCATTCTCTCTATCCACTCGCATCTTTGCGTTCATTCATTTAATCCGCAAATCATCATTTATTTCAACCAACCATCCAATCCACACAGCTATAATCAATAAAACTAACTAACAAACAAGAAATTTAACGATATTAATAAGATAAACATTCAACAAATTCAAATAAAATATAAAATTTTTTCATTAACGATATGAATGTGGCCTAAAATCTCATGCCATGCCATCCAACATTTAAAATGTCGCAACTAATATTTATCTAAAAAACCATTTTCTCAATTGCCGTACATCGAATAAAAATTGTTTCCTTAAAAATTTTTATTACCTTACATTTGTAATCTATATATAATAATATGATATGATATAATATAGTTTATACGTATATTATGACGTTTGCAAGTAGGTATAGCTCGTTTGATTCCACATGCTCATAAATAATGTAACAATAATAATTCTTATTATAATTATTTTTCAAAATTTGTAAAAATTAAGCAGCAGCAAAAGAAAATGCTGTGTTGTATGCTGAAAAGTCAACATTTTGACATGGCGGTGTTTTTTAAGGGTTAAGTGATGAAATGTTAATGCTTTTTAAACTTACATTATAAAATTTTTTTGTTAAACATTTTTTTTTCTTCAAATTTGACGATTAATAATGTTTAAAATAAACCATCATGCAATGATTTTTACGTATTATATAACTACCAAATACAATGCTAATGAATTATAAAATAATAGTTGAATGATATTGCGTGGCACCGTTTAAAATTACCAGATGATTGATATCGCTGGCAATGCTTAGTTTTTCAAAAATGAGTATCGGTTTTGGAATCGACAAACATTCTAAAGCGGATATTGGTATATAGTATTGACGATAAATCTTTGTACTGTAAAGAACCCTGACCAGAATCACACTATCATCACTTACATTCAGTCTATTCATCCACATTTTCATTCAATTTAATCAGCCATGTTAACTGTTCCCTCCATGCTAACTGTTCACATCTCCATTTATTTTTAACCACTTATATGTTTGTTTATTCCATTTATCAACGTCTACATTCACCTTTTTCATTCACGTCTGTATTAAATCTGTTTGTCTGTATATTCATTTGTCAAATTTACTTTCTTATTTTTATAAACTTTTATATTTAGCTGTTGTTTCGGACCACACCATCAACCAAACAACTACCACCACCACCAACAACAACAACAACGTCAACAATATCGACGGCCTGACGAGCATTACTACCAACCACAACAACTACAACTTATGGACTAGCTACCGGCCAAAACGATGCGGCTCTTACCTTTACGTCAGAGATGTTGGTATAAATTTCAGGAAGATTTCTCTCTGCGGGGATGAAACGACGAGGGAGCGCCCCCTTTTAACCTCGTCCAGCAATGAACTTTTAATGTACTTGCAAGATAATGATGAAGATGATGATGCTGATGAAGTAAATAATGTCGGACATCGTGAAAGCAGCAAAGATGATGATAGCGACGACGGTGACGACGATGATTTTGATCGCGATGACGTCATTGTTGTGCAGAAAGTTCTTATCTCATACGAAGGTTAAAAATCTTGTGTGCCGGCGAGCGTGGATGTGACGTTGTGTTTTGTTGTCTTAGTCACTTCCTTTGATTTAAATGTATTTTTTTTGTTGGTTGGTGATGTTCTCGTTGTTCTTGTTATTAAAGTTTGCGTTAGTGTAGATTTTACTAATGATAATAACCATGTTGTTGTTGTTGTTGTTGATATTGTTGTTGTTGCTGTTGTTGATGTCGTACTAGTTGATGTTGTCGTTGTTATTGTTAAAGGCAATGTTATTATTAATTTCGTTAAAGATAATGATAATGTTGTTGCCCTTTTATGTTGGAGTAGTTGGCTTTGATGTTGTGATAGTAAAGGACTTTTGGTTGATGTTAACGATAACTCCTCTCCGTTTATGCATGCTGATTTTTGTGGTGTTTGATGTACTTTGGGTGGGCACATACAACCAAGTTCTGATAAAACATATTCATCATGCCTATTTGCTTAGCCTTTTCAATTGTATTTCTAGTAATTATATTAACACGAATTACTATATCGTAATAATCACATTCCACAAGCTACAGCAGCCAATTGGCTTTAAAACTTTAGTCTCTGCTACAAATTTTGTCCCGTCCTCAACAATTCATGCATATTTTACTTATTCTTTTAACGGTTTCACTCCTAATACAAACCGTTTTAAAATTCGATGCCTAATTTTTATTTATTTAGCGCCTGCTGCTTTTAAGAATTCCCACAAAGTCGCTGATCACGAAGAATGGCCATCGAATTTGCCAGATGCTTAGAAAAATAAACATTGAATCAATAAGATGATTATGTGACTATTTATATTTTCAAACATTGAAATTAATGGCAACTGACTGGCAACCAAAATGTATTTCGTAGTTTGAATTGTTTCCATGTTAATATCCAATCTATAACCCTTCCGCTTTTATCTGCTTTTTAATCATAACATTTAATCACTACAACGAAGAAATAAATAAATGATGACATGTTGTAGTCACTATAAAAAATGTATAAAAAACAAACCCAAAATTGAAGGTAAGCATTTTTTCACGTGTTTAAGTTTACAATACATTTGTTTGAACATTACGAAAGTGGAGCATGGAGCAAAAAAAGAAATAAAACATTTGGTCCGCATTTTACGATTATTCCCGAGAACGTTAAGACATTTAAAGCATTTATTTCAAATCAAACGAGACGCGGTAATGAGAAAGGCGCCAATAAAAGGTGCTTGGATAAGAAGGTGCAAATAAAATGATACTATCGAAGGCCGTATATGTGTACGAAGAAATTTATCGTCCCCATTTTAATAAGGTCTGGGTCATGAGTTAGTTGTGGAGAGTTTGAACTGGGATGAAATCTTTATATTGTCAGTCAGTAATAGATGTCATTATCATCATTATCCTCATCATCACCCTCATTGTCGTCATCATCATCATCATCATCAACAACAACAATTATTAAATCGTCATCATCATTATCAGCGTCATAGTCGGCTTCATAAAAATAATAATAATAAACAATAATAATAATAATAATTATTATTATTATTATCATAATAATCATAGCCATCAACATCGTCATCATCATTATCACTATTACTCAGTGACAACAACATTGTCAAACATTCGCTGTCAACATTCATCCAATAATTTTTCCACGAAACAACATTATCTGAAATGTTGTTGTTGGCGTCCATCTACGTCATGTTACCTTCAGTTTATTCTTTATTGTTTTGTTGTTGTCGTGATGTGTTGTTGTTGCTGTGATGTGTTGTGATGTGTTGTTGTTGTTGTGATGTTTGCTGTTGCGATGTTTAGTTGTTGTTATTTTATGTCGTGGTAATGTTTAATTGTTGTTATTTTATGTTGTGGTAATATTTAGTTGTTGTTATTTTATGTTGTAGTGATGTTTTGTATTCTTTTTTTTTTTGTTGTTGTTGTTGTTGTGATGTTTTGTTGTTGTTGTGATGTTTTGTTGTTGTGATGTTTTGTTGTTGTGATGTTTTGTTGTCGTGATGTTCTGTGGTTGTGATGTTTGTTTTTTGATGTGATGTCTTGTTGTTGTGATGTGATTTTGTTGTGACGTTATGTTGTGGTGATGTTTCGTTGTCGCTGGGATATTTTGTTGTTGTGATGTTTTTGTTGTTGTGATGTTTTGTTGTTGTGACGTAATGTTTATTTGTTGCGATGTTATGTTTTGTTGCAACCAGTTTAGCTGCCGTGGTTTGAAAAAATCTATCTTAATTTATAAACTTTGGAAAAAATGTTCAAATTTGTTAAATATTATATTGTTAGCATCGTGTTTTCGTCATTATATTCATATTGTATTGGTTGTTGTGCATCTGAAAAAGAGTTATGTTAATGTTTTATTTTTGCTCTTGTTGTGCTATTGTGTTGTTTTTATTAAACAATCTTCATGTTATCGCCTAATACTGTGTTGTTGTTGAAATGTCCTATTGTTTTTATTGCTTGGTTACGCTGTTATTGTTTTATAAGCTGAACGAGCGCGTGCCTTTGAATGCGTGATCATGTGACCATGTGATCATATGATCATGATATGACAATATGATAATGTAATCATGTAACCATGTGATTATGCAGACATGTGACAATATTATCAAATGATTATGTAATATATGATCACGTGAGTATGTGATCAGATCATGTGACTACATGACTACGGAAGCACGTGATCAGCACAGCAGGTTTGTAATTTCTGCCACGTTATTACGTGCGACTACATGTTTTGATGGCTCCCGCAAACAATACTTTAGCAAATTTTTCGAAAGTTTTTTCAAATGTTTACATTTATTTTTGAAATGTTTGGTCATTAAAATGCTTATGAGGTAAATAAATTGTCTGCTCTCACGTAATTCAGATGTTGTGTTGAGGTAATTTTTTTGAACTGGTCAACAAAGTGTGATCGTAATGAAACTTTGATGCATGGCGATGTACTTTGTTGAAGTTGAATAAAATTGTAAAGCACATTCATTTGAGTGCAATTATTTTGTGCTTGAAAAACTTCGAGAGCATGGTTCTCATGATTTTTTATTTTACTTCATTTTATAAATTTTGAAAAATTATAAATAATATAAAAAAAAAACAAAAACAAAACAACAATATTTAGAATGAAATCGAACACTGGATGATTGATAATTAAAAATTGAAATTAAAAAAAAATTTTGGGGTAATTAATTGTAATTAAAAGTTTATTAGTTTATTAATTTTAAAACTATTAAATACGAAATTGATTGTATGAAAATAAAATAAAAGAAAGCATGTGAGTTGTACCAAGCAAGCGTGCAGATGTGGACGTAAAAAGTTTTTAATTATAGGAGTAGTGTCCAGCAGCAGTGCGAGCATCGGATCTATATTAATCTATGCGAAAATAATGGAACAATGGAAATAATGTTCAAAGCATTTCTGATTGATCGAGCGATTACAACTCTTCTATTGCACCATCAATTATCTACCAACATCAAATCTGCCAAGACGATTTTATCTTAAACTCCAATATCCATATGGAGCCAACGATAAATTATTAATCGTTCGTTTGTTATTTTTGTGTACCATATTTTTAGTATATATCTTGAATGAAATAACGAAATGGACGAGAACCACGCAAGTTTCCTGCCTGCAAGTTTGTGCCTTCGTGTGCACTATACTCCATGCCAAGATAGTGAACCAATCTTATTTTCATTAGTAATATTGTCGTCTTGACAGCATGCTCAGAAAGATTTAAAAAAAAAACTCTTGCTTAACGTAAATGGTTTTTTAAAATTACTTGGTCTAAAGCCTAATCTAAAGCCAAATCTTGAAAAAACTTGACCTTTTAAAAGTTATTTCAAATACTTTTCAATAAACATTCTGTTGCACTTTTTAATGCATTAACAGTATTGTTTAAATAAAACAAAGTAAATTTTAATTAGTTATTGTTGGGTTCCTTATGCAGTGGCATTTTTAATGTTAGCAAGGATAGACTAGGTTTCAAATGATACGATGGTAAAGATTAAAAAAACATAAACAATAGAAACAAAAATAACCACAAAAACTTATTTAAAACCAAACTAAATATAATAAAAGTAATCAAATTAACAGCATCAAAAGTGACAAAACATCTGGAATGCAATGCATGGAAAGTGGAAAGTGTGGAGTGATCATCACATCGTTATCATTATTAGTAGGTGACGATGTATTTTCTCTGTCTGCATTACACAGAAATGTTAACAAAACATTACACGGCTTATGTCGATACGAGTAAATCAAAGGCATCATCACAAGCATTGCCAATGATAAGCGGAAATCTTTTTGCGTCCCATCCAAATCACTACAACGCAGTATCAACTGCACGTATCCATTATCCCATCTCATGTGATCATGTGACCATGTGGTCATGTGACCAATGTGATCATGTGGCCATGTGATCATAAGATCTTGATATGATCATGTGATCACTGCGTGACTCGTATGATGTAGAGCGTGAAGTGAAACGTCGTGCCAGCGAAGAGATGATGTTGTTGTTGTGGAAGTCGTTGACGTTCTGATTGTTGTGGTTGTGTTGGTGTGGTTCTGTTGTTGTTTTTGGTTGAGTTGTTCGTGTTGTTGTTCGTTGTGGTTTGTCGTTTGAGATCATCAATTGTTGTTGATGTTGTCGTCATTACTGTCATTAATATATACACGAAATAAATCAATAAAAAAATGAACATTCAAAGTGTCTTACATATTGTGGAAATGTTAATGTCTTCACAATTTTGTATTTAACGAAAAATGCTCATTTTGCAGATAATTTTGATAAATTTGCATATTGAAACAAGTTTAATATGCATCGTAAAATTAATTTATATTCTATGTTACGCTTTTATTAATATTTTAATGAAATCATTTTTAAAGGAATCTATTCGCTTGGCGGTTTATTTGGTTAATGTGATTGCCTGTAAGAACATGGAGATCACATTCATAAAGTGTTTCTATTAAGCTAGAATCATCTTTCAATGAAAATGTCACCTAAGTTTGTTATGTGAAGTCATAAAACGCAATCAACGTTTTTAGAGTAAATTAAAAGTTAGAGGAAGCATTACAACACAGTGACAAACTTTTTTACCTCAAAATAAATAATGTGGTTAGAGCAAATGATGGATTGAGTTCATGATTCAGTGGCCTTACAAGTTAGCAACAACTTCTGGCTTCCTAGTCAAATAAAATATTGAAATTGTTGAAATAATAAAAACATTGTTTATCGATTTAACAATATAAACCATCTACTGCTAAATACATTTATTGGGACATAGTGAAAGAATTGCCATAAAATTATTTTAAAAATTTCATCGTCAATGCAATATAATATAATGGGAAGAGTCGCCAGATAAATTTTTAAATTGAACAACTTCAAGATGCCAAGCCTCAACTCTGAACACCTCGCTTGGTCGGTCGAGCGTTAAATTGGGTCGTTGTCATAGCGACAACTAAATAGGTTTTGTGTCCTGAAGCGTTTTTGTGCTGCTCAGTGCGATAATTGTTAAAATTATATTACGAAAAAATGTGTTGCTATGAAAAAAATGACTTCCTCACAAGCTCCACTCATTTTCTTACAATATGCGTTGAAAAAATTAAAAAAAACTTTAATTTTGAAACGACAAAAATTGTTAAAAACCTTTTTTTTACAAAAATATTTTTGATTTGTTTTTTTATACAATTGTATAATTGTCTACAACTTATTTTTTTAAAATGAGTTTTTTGCTTTTTTTCATCAAAAAATAAGTAAATTGAATAGATTTAAGCACACTAGCTACACCTAAAAATAATGAAATAACCATATTGAAATGAAATGCACGTCACAACAAAAGAGCAATGCAAACAGTTGTAGGGTGTCCGGAGATCCAGACCCCCCCGAACATGTGGCTGGAGTGGGAGCAAGGAAAGGTGGCTGCCAAGTGCAACAGCACGTCGGAGACCTGGTACATGACTTGTGTCGATGGCAGGTGGTTTGGATACGTGGGTAACTGTACAGCTGGTGAGTTTTGGGTGAGTGAATGAGTGAGTGAGTGATGAGTGAGTGAGATAATGAATAAGTAACGATAAAATGAACCAATGAATAACAATTTCATATTTTTGATTTGAATGCTGCAAACTAAATTAATATTTTACTCTGACTTATAATGATTGTTGTTTTTTGTTGTTGTTGTACTGACATTGATTTTAAAATAACGCAATAGCACCGGTCGTACTGAAAGAAGAATTGAGCAAAGAGGAGCCCTATTCAACGCAAGGTTAGTTAGTTACGTAGTTTCAATCAACGTTCTTTTCTTTTCGGTGCATTACAGTTTCTTCAGATGCGCTCTACTCTTTGATGTTTGTCGTGATTTAGTAAAATTATCACCAGTCGCACATTTCTGTCATAATAAAATTTTTTGGAGAAATGAGCTCAACAAAGTTTGATTTATAATACTTTTTGATAAATTAAATAAAAATGTTAAAGTATTGAAGAACTAATAAAAATTACTGCATATTGTACGTAGGAATCGTGCTGGCGATCGTCATAGGCATCATACTCGGCATAGTCACAGGCATGATGCTCTTGTTCGCCGTCCTCTGCTCCAGACAAAGGTTACATCCCCAACAACTGAGTCCATGTTTTGTGTTTTCATGCAGCTGTAACTACGTCGCATCACCCGTGTAGTTGTTTTTACGATGGGTTGATTATTATAGTTTATTAATTCGGCAGATCACGAGGGATCTTTATTTGCTCAGAATCATGTTATTTTCATTACCACAAATACGACAAATAGATCTAATGTTTTAATTCCAAGAATTTCAACATCATTTGTTAATCAACTCGAACTACTTCATTCAACTGAAAATGCATTTTATTTCAGACAACTTTGGTAAAAAATTTAAATATAATTGATAAGAAATGTATTTTGTTTGCATACGATATCAACTTTAGAATGGTGTGTTATAATTCTTTCTTGGTGTGAGAATTGTATAAAATGTTTTCGCAAATTATTAGGATTATGATTATATACCATATTAAATTTCCAAAATGCAACAGCAATTAAATATTATTATCAGTAATGATCATAATGATCGACACAAATTGCAGCTTATTGAAATTAGCACAATCATTATTCGTCTTATCAACGTAAACTCTTCTAACATCACCAAACACAACCCACAAGAAGGAAACCGATGAGGAAGAAGAGATCGAACGATAGCAACAAGACAACATTCCTGCTGAAAGAACAGCACAGCAGAGGCAGCAACAACACGCCGATCAACAGGTACTCCATCTGCAATCACATCATCCCCTGTCGTAGCAGCTCAAACGTTGATAGCAAGAATAGCACACCGGGTAACAACAACTGCACGGCCGACGGATACAAAAAAGACTTAAAGAAGAAAAAGACCCTGAAAACAATATTATTGAGAAGTTCAAGTTTCAAGAGGGTTTCCAGTCTGTTCCTGCAGGATGTGACGTCACAAGAAGGTCTGCCGGTCCTCTACCAGGATGATGGCTCGTGTAGTAACGTCAGTTTTCTCAGTTTCTTCTTACTGCTGTTGTTGTCATCGTTGTTGTTAATATTAGTTTCATTATGTCGGGTTATCATTACTGCTGTTGTTCTTGTTTTTTAATGTTTTGATGTTGTCTTTTTTATCTTTTTTCTTTATTTCTAAAAATTTTTTTTATTTACTGTTTTTACAATCAATACTATTGAAGGTTAGGTACATATAATAGTCTTTTAAGTAAATATTTACTCATATTTATGCTATAATGCAACTTCAACAAAATATGCAGCTATGTGTGTTAAGTTATTTTAATTAGTTTAATTTATTTTCAGTTGGTAGTGTTGATGATTATTTTAAGGTATTAATTGCATCACTCTAATCTTTTGTGATTAGATGTATGAGATGCAGCCAATGAAAGCACTTTCAGCCTCACAAACCTCCACGCCGAAGATGGCGGTGAACCTCGCGTCGAACACGACAGTCTGCAACGTTCAAGAAGCTGATCTGATATGCAAGCACCTCAACTATGCACAGTGTCAGTTTTGCTCGGAGTTCTGCTGCAGCATCCTCGCTGATGATAACGAATGTTGCGAACTTGAGCTGCTGTTAAATGAGCAACAATACCAGCAACAACTACCACATTGCAATCAACATCAACAACATTTGAATCGCACCAGACCACATAAGGCTAAAGAAAATGAGTCAGATATGAAACAAAGCAATGCATCACAAGACGTCAACACTTTTTTAGTAATAACAAATTCTGATGCGTCCCATGGATCAGCCGAATGTCACAACAAATCATTCCGGCAGCATCATCAACAGCAACAACAACAACAACCACAACAACCACAGCAACTCATTCACTTGCAGAACTTCTCGTCGTTGCACGCGTGTACCGACCTCGACATGCAACAGCTTCACAGTGAACAGCATGGTAAAGTGAAATTGACTGGTTCCTTATCAAAGAAGATGTCTACAATCATCGCAAACACGAATTGTCCTTTTCAATGTCACCTCGAACCAGCAGAAGCGTGCCAGTGCAAAAATGACTGTGCAGACAACTGTTTGTTATGTCATGATGTGAATAATAGGAAAATTATCGATAGCTGAGCATAGTTCAAAATTTTGTTCATTAGTAAATTTCTAAAATCACAACTACGTTTCATTTTGTTTGCGTATAAAGAGCATCGTTTTATTGTCGTCATTAAAAAGGAAGGTCTGATTTAATTTAAGAACGACAACAAGATGAATGTCTATTAATTTAAAAAAAAGGAACATATGTTTTTTACTTAATGGATAACACATTCTCGCTATAAAACTTTTTATTCGTCTATTATTCTTGCCAATAATGATGTTAAATATTTACTTTTACCACTATATTTTTTAAATATTCAATGCCAAGCTCTTAAAAATCATTTTTTGTAATCGATCAGTTGTAGAGCCATTAAAATATTAAGACAAAAAACTGTCTGCTCTCATGTTGCTGCCAGAGTGTCGGGTTCGGATAAAAAATATCCGACTCTCGACTCCAGGTTCCGACTACAATAAAAAATTTTTTAACATTTTGTATCATAATTTTACCTTATTATCACAAGTAGTAAATAGATAATATTTTGAAAATAGGTCAATGTAATTGTTTTTCTAAATAAAATTACTGTACTTTTATGTTTTAAAACATTCTGAAAAAAAAATTTCACTTCTTGGATCATATTTTCGCCATTTTATTTTTACTGAAAAGAATTTACTTTAAAAAACATTATAAATCGGCCAATGTGATTGTTTTTCTTAGTAAAATTATTATATTTTTATGTTTTAAAACAACCGAAAAAACTTATATAATTTTATTGACATTATTTAGCATATATTTTTCTGTATTAAAAATAATTATCTATTGCTACACACATTTAGGTTCCAAAAAACACCATTTTTAAAAAATTTCAGAATAAAAATAATTTTCTAAAAAATTAAAAATCCGACCTCGACTCCGGGCTCTCAAATAATTCCGACTCCAACCAAAATCTCTGACTCCGACACTCTGGTTGCTACTGCTCTCCTTAATTAAATAAAACCTGCAGAAATATTTTTTTGATAATCCGAAATGTTCAAGAAAAAAAAGATTTTCAAAAGCTATCTATTTCCACAAATATTCATCTCCAATAAAGATTGATAGCTTCTTTATAATTAATTAGTTAAATAATTAATTAATTGCACTAAAAGTAAAAATTAATTAAATAGAAATGGGTCACTAAATTTCATTAAAATGTATTTAAACTTAAACGTTTATTAGAGAAGAGTTAAAACTTTTATTTCGTATATATATTTTAAAATGAGTTTGACATTAATAAATTTTGTGGCATCATAAAAATATTATACAACAATGAAGCCATAAGTTATTCTTTATTTTGCATACACGTTTGTGACGTTTTTTGTTTTCAAACTATGAAAAAAAAATTCCATGTCCAAAGAAACCAGAATAATGGCCGGGTGTCAATTTATATTAACACGAATTTCTATGCAATGTGAGCTTTTTTAAAAATTTTTGTTTAAAAATTTTAAATGTTTTTTTTATTTTGTTTAGTTTTTTATTAATATTTATTAATATCGTAATAAATTAAAAATGAAAGCAAATTATTTGTCTATGGAAAAATCAATCAATCAATTAGTTTGTAAAGCGCTATTTCCGCAATGTTCAACAGCGCTCCTCAATGAATTTTGCAAACAGATGGGTCTTGAGATCCGCTCTGGACTTCGCAAGTGGTGGAGAAGTAGTTAAAGAAGGAGGTAGAGAGTTGTAAAGAAAAGAGCCAGAAAAAGCGTATGCTGATTCGGCAAATTAATGTTTAACACGAGTTAAGAGGAAGTATAGTATTTATTATGCCACGTTTGTAGCCCGACAAGCGTCAAACAGGCGGTTAGGATGTTAAATTAAAAAACAGAAAATTTGTAGAAAAGAATAAAAACTAACCGTTTAAAAACATCTCATCCCAAATTCCTCCAAGCAAAGAAGACTGCAGGAAGATATCGATTAGAACAAAGAGTATTTCATTGTTCTTAAAACATTTTCTGGGAAATAATAAACAGCCGACTTGAGCATTTTAAAATCAACGACGTACCTACGTGCAGTAAGATAAAAGAGAAACTCAGGTATCCTTTACACAAAAATTATTTTAAGTTTTACTAGTTTTAAAAAAGCTTTCAAAATAATTTAACACAGCTTTCAGAGCAAACGAACTATTAGTTTTTAAATAGAATTCTACATTTTAAATAGAATTCTTGATATTTCGCTAATACGATTTTCTACATATTCTAAGCAGGGTTGAATATTTGAATGAACTGCCATGCAATAATCCTAAATTTACATATTTTTACACAATGATTAACATAAATTTTATACACCACTGTAATTATATCTAGCCAATTTAATAAATTCAATATAAAGTGTTTTTTTAAACATTCACTATTTACTAAGGGTGATTGCTCGGGTCTCTAAATTTGACAACATTTCTGATAAGATGAAAAATAAACTTCATTGGCTGTCGGTCGAGGACAGAATACGATTTAAAATAGCTCTTATGATAAGAAACTGTCTGGATGGAAGAGCACCGGCTTATTTAAAAGAAATGTTAAATTTGGTATCGGACGTTCCTGATCGGAATCGACTGAGATCTGCAAAACACGGAGATATTATTTGTCCTCCGTTCAAAGCATCTCATTTTGGCGCAAGAAAGTTTTCAGTTGCAACATACAGGACCTCGAACTCATTACCGATTGATTTAAAAGTCAATTCTAACATCAATCGTGACGCCTTTAGAAGCGGCTTGAAACATCATTTTTTCAACAAAACGAAGCACAAGTAGCGCCTCTGAAGATAGCTCAATAGAGGCGCTCTACAAATCTACAATACAGTACAATACTAACCAATAAAGAAAAAATTATCAAGCACGATAATGTTTAACTAAATTTAAATTTAATTTTAATGAAACAATAAAATATGAAGTTCTCGAGCAGCTCCATGACTTCGAAGAATGTCATGAAGGCGAATCCGAACCAGAGTCCCAGAATGCCGCAGATATCGGTCAGCAGGTTGCTTACCTGTCACATTACGATCACTTGACGAAATTAATTTACGTAAACGTACATTTTTGCAGGGCTTTGGAGCAAGCACTTTTTTGAGTTGCTCCGCTCCAGCATAACAAATTTTGCTCCGCTCCGTGCTTCGAGGCGGGAGTGTGCTTTGGAGCCATTTAATAAAAAATAAGTTTTTTATTGTTTCATTGGTACAGTTAAATTGATGAAAGGAGCCGTTGTCATGAAAGACTCTAGATATCATAACAATCTTTTACAAGATGAATTTTTTAAATTAAGTTATAAAATATTAAATTTCATAAATTAATATTTTTGTATTTTTCAATCTAATACTTTATGTTATTGGAGCATGGAGCATTCAAAATGTTTCTGCTCCGGCTCCGCTCACGCTCCGACTAAAATATCGTTGCTCCGCGCTCCACCTCCAAAGCCCTGCATTTTTGTACACATATAACACTTACGAATAAACCATACACATAAGCATGCACGCGTCTAGATATAATTAAATCATTGATTTCATATATTTGAAAAGACGTTTGCAAATAATAATTTAAAAAAGAATTAACTCTTAAACAAATTTAATGAATATTAATGAACAAATAACATAAATTATATTTCTAGAGAAGTGTCTCATTGAAATGAAAAAATAAAACAACGTAAACTAGTGAGACAGATTATTAACAAACGATAATGAAAGCTACTCGATTGATCTCTCACTTTGTACTCGCGATACTCGCTCATTACTTGGACTCTGAGATCCGAATAGTACACATTCAACTGCAAGAGTTGGTGCCGAAGAAGGAACTCCGGGTCGCCGCCAAGTTGACCGAGTTTTGAAATCAGGCGATCCTGTTGTTTGAGATGGTACAAAAATTTGCATTGTAATTTTTTACAACCAACATCCACAGATTTTCGAAATCCAGAATAAATTCTTTGGTAAAAAAGTTAAACGCGCGGCTTCTAAAGAAAATTAAAATTAAAATAAACATTACTTTTGAGTGGACAGATGGCCAAAACCCGTACGATAGCATTGATTCGTATTTGGAATATCTGACAAATAAATTTTACTGAATGCTGAAAATAAATTAAACTATAAAATTGACTGATCCGACCTGCATCTTTCGGGACAGTCACAAGAGAGCAGGTTCAAGTTGAACTGCATGGTTACATTGTACATGCAGTCATCTGCTTTCAAGTAAGAACTTTATCATTGTTAAGCTCATTTACCAAGATAAAATTGTATTACCAATATAATTTATTAGTAGTAGATAAACAAAAAAAACATTTTATTTATATCTTTATTTGATTAAACGGTGAATCTATGTAAATGGTATGTATGTACATGGTGAATGTATGTAATGTATGTACATTGTCACACAGAATCAAATACACACACACACACACACACTTATAAATAGAAAGCAGATAATAACAGAAAAGATTGTTGGAATTATATTGTAACGCAAACGAACCCTGCCTTATACTTGATCTAGAGCAGACATCAAGAGAAGGATGGCTTTCATATGGGCGAGGTAGCCAAGGAAAGCGCGCGTCGAAACATCCACATTGTTTTACAACATTTTTCTGATAGCATGTTTTTTTACATGCCTGAAAACAATGAATACTTAGAATTATAATAATGTTTTTTATAAACCCAAACGCTCTTATTATAACAAACAACTGTTTCTAATTTAAAATACAATAAATAGTACTATAAGCAATTGAAGAATCTAACGCTTGGTCTATATTCTACTCCATACAATTCAGAATAGAAGCTACTTTCCAGCACCAAGTTGATGTCGTCATCTGAAATACATTTCTGGTGTGGACTATCCAGTCTTTCAACTTTTTGCTACGATGTGCATTAAATAAAAATGTTAAAGCGTAATACACAACGTACAACGTTGAAAACTTCTCACAAGTGGTTAAAAATAATGATATGACAGAAATATTATTTGGTTAACTTCTTTCAAAGAGAGGAACGTGCTACTCCCAGGCCGAACAATTAATCCCTCATCTTCCGGGAATGACAGCTGCTTGCCAGGCAGCACCACCACCTTCATTCCCAACACACTTTCGACTGCCCAAGTTTTCTCTCCAATCGTCGCTTTCAACAGCATTTGTAATCCTTTTTCAATCACGTGTTAATTGCGCTTTATTCCAATGTGGCAACAAAATTTGTTTAAAAAGATTTCATGATGAATTGCAAAAATTAGTCGTTTAGAATTAGGACTATTTAGTTTGCCGAAGTAAGTTTTGACTGGTTATAATTAACTTTGACTCGATTCTTATCAGTGTTACTATTTTTAAATGTTATTTTATCTAATGAAAAATGATTGCCATCATCAAATGTTTGTCAGTTTACAATTTACAATTTGATTGCCTTACAAATTTTTAATGCAACAGCGCATTGTCTTTTTGTTGCATAACATATTTCACATCAAAAACTTTGTGTTAGATGTTTTTATGAAATAAATACACTCGTTCATGCAATAAGACTGCTTCTTTTATAATACTTTTCGTAAGCAGATTGATTAGCTTAAAACATCTGAAATGCATGCACCTCCAACAACAATGCACGATAATCTTGGTCCTTATTTGAAAAGTGCAATAGTTAAACGCTCGCACACTTAATAGTTAGATTCGAGCAAAAAATATTACTGCAATCAACATATAAAGAACGTTATTGAAGCAAATTATTTTTAATAATTCCTGCTTTTCCACAGTCGCTCTTCTTTGCACTTGTAATTTTCAAATAGGCAACCATGAAAAAAAAAACTAAGCAACCAAACAAGATCTGTTTGGTGTTTTTTAAAATGTCTGCGTGATAATGTATGGCAACAAAATTATTTGTTTCATGTCCATTAATATGGATATTTATTTACTCAAATAAATTTTTTATTTTATTTTTCGATGGTCAGACTCTTTAAAATTATTTCATTTGACAAATGTTATCGTTGTCGTTAAACAGAAATCTTTTTACGCACTATTATAAACAACTAATAATTAATTGAGTAAAACTAAAATTCCATGCACAAACTTAAATCAATCAGAACAGGATAAAATATTTCTCAACAATATAGAATAAAATAACAAAATTCAGCGCCATCCAACCATTTTTCGGTCCGATATTTCGACTATTTTTCTGCTCAATGGAAGCGTTCCACATGGAATTGTAGACGTAGCAGTTGCCGTAATAAGGGTTGTAAAATTGTTGGAAATCTCTAAAAAATTAATTTATTTATCATATTGCAACACAAACTAATCAGCAAATGTTAATCGGGTAATAATAATGTCAAGGTTACCTATCATAATCGCATGGTTCGCCATCGAACAGACAGCTGATCAGAAGGTCAGACAATTTGAAGCCTCTTTCTTCTTTTTCTTTCAGATTGCGCTTTGCTGCACGTTCCACATCGTCTTCCATTTGTTTGAAGGTATCTGTCGCATCCAATCTATCTTTGAAGCAGCTTCCATTCATCAGAGCCGGAGGTAGTAGAACATTTTTATTTGGATTAAAAACTTTTAAAGTCAGGGCGCAGGATTTGGCTTTCGATAATTTTGGCGCGGAACACGTGCTGCAAGTATAAATGTTTGAAAGTGAGCAACAAGTGCAGCAGCATTCTATTTCAAGTGGTTCTACTATCGTTGGGGCTGGTGATTGGAATGTGTTCGGAGAGGTTGGGTCTGTGGATGTTTGCATTAAAAGGGTCGTAATTGTCGTTATTGAAATGGTCAACGAATTAGTTGTGGTTGTTGAGAGGTGTAGTTGAGACGTCGTCGAAGTTGTTGACGTTAATGTTGTTGTGCTCTCCAAGTGATAAGTTGTTGTCGTGGTAGTTGTGGTTGATGGGTTAGTTCTTGAGGTAGTTGTTGTAGTAAATGGGTTTGTTGTTGCTGTTGCGTTGGTGCTAGCCGTGGTTGGTGGGTTTGTTGTTGTCGTCATAGTTGAAGTAAAGAGATTGGTTGTTGTCATGGTGGTTGTAGTTGATGGGTTTGTTGTTATGGTGGTAGTCGCAGTTGACCGTTTTGTTGTTTTTATGGTAGTTGTGGCTAGAATATTCATTGTTGTTGTTGTTGTCGCTGTTGTCATTGTTGTTGCTGCTGTTGTTGTCATTGTTGTAGTTGTTGATGTCGTCGTTGTTGTCATTGTTGTAGTTGTTGGTGTCGTTGTTGTCGACGTACATTCTTTTGAATCATCTATAATATTAAAGTCATTTTATATACTGCCGTAAAATCTGTCAAAAAAACTAACCACTGAGGTAAATTTCTATTTCACACAGCGTTAAATACCCGCGACCGTTGTTGTCCTGTTGTATTATAACGTATCGACCGGATGGCGGACTGCAGTTGATGTGGATTGTTGTGTAGTTGCTGGAAGTGACGCTGCCCCAGTAGTTGTACATCGATTCCAGGATGGGACGCGAGAATTTCAGTTCATCGTACAAATTGACAGTCGAGTTGAATGTTGAGTTTAGAGTTTCGTCACTGTACGATGATGAAGTTGCATTAAAAATATTGGATCCCTTCATCACGCCAATTGTACAGTTCATCAGGGTGTCTCGAACTTTTTATTTCAAATTTAACTTGTTGAATACGTTGAAGTAGATTATTCTTGTAGGTTACATTAAAAAAATTAAACTACATTTTCCTGAAAAATGAATTTCCAAAAACTCTGTTGCTATATGCTATACGTTGGTTTAAATGGACTTGTCTAATTATATATATATATATATATGTGTGTGTGTGTGTTTGTGTGTGTTTGTGTGTGGTGTGTAGGGTGTGTGTGTAATTTGTAAAATGAAAAATTAAGATGAAAAATTGAGATGGTTATTTATGTTCAATTTCATCAACATTGCTAGACAAAGAAATCGACTGTCTTTTTCAAATTAACGCAATCAGTTATTTATTCATTTATTATTAATTCTTTAGACAATTAATTAAAGAAGTATCAGGTGCAATTAAAACAAACGTCGTCCTTTACAAACATTCATTTGGGCTTCTATGGTAAAGAATAATTTTCTTGAAGGTGGTATCGTTTTGAAGGTCAATCATGAGCCAACTCCTTTCATTTCTATCCAGGCCGCCATGTGCACATTCGCCTTCGTCCAAGCGAGGAGATGTTTTACCTTCAACGTACATTTATTTCTATTTAACAATTCGTTCGGATCTTCAACACTCTACATTATTCTTTAGACGATAAAAAAAAGTTCTTAATCTTACTTGTGTTGCGAATAAATTCAAAAATAGTCTGAGATCAAACAATTTCAAATCCTTAGTGGTTAATTAAACAAAAACCTCATATCTAAACTTCACTTATAAAATAATGTCATGGAATTTGAATAAATATTATTTCTTACGTATTTTTTATTCAAGCATGAAAACATTGTTAATTATACTGAAATTATAAGTTTCAAAGTTTATAAATCATTTTTTTAAATTAGTGTCAAAATCAAACAATTGTTGTTTTTATAGTTTCAATGTAAAGTGAGTGAACAATACTAATTTTGATATTATATCTCAATTAAATAAACTCCAATAATAAATGAATAAACAAATCAATCAATCACTAATACACTCAAAAGCAGTTGAACAATATTAACAATGCAGCTCATAATGAATAGTTATTAATCAATTGAACTTTGAATATAATTAAATGCGACTAATTGAAAATAAATTTGAGGTAAATGTTCTTTCCTTCCTACCGTCTACGGCTCTGTTGGCATCGTCCATTGGATGGTTCTTGCAAGTACTGCTTTGATAGGCTTTCATGTGCAATGCGATGTTCTCCTTGGAGGTGGCTAATTTTATACCTTTATTGTTAAATCAAATAATTTCTTTAAATTTAACAGCAAACAACTTATCAACCGACTTTGCCTTTTAATTCTTCGCTCGCCAACATGTGCGGCTGGTGAGGTATCGTTTGCATTGGTTTTCAATTGAATGTTCTTGTAGGGATGCAGATTGCAAACAGTCACCGATGGAAATGGGGCTTGTTTTCTCGTTATTATTGCATAATTGATGTCAACTGAGTATGAGGAATATTTTCTGATGAGGAGGATGGTATTTAGGATCAAACCGGTGAACATGCACAGGAATGCTACGGACCAGAACACCTTTTTGAAGAGACCTGACAAATTGGTTTTGTGATCAACTTAGAGAAATATTTTGGAAATATTGTCCATATTTGTTAATAAAATGTATGCGATACTAATCTCAACATTTCATAAATTCCTTTTGCTTCTATATAAAATGCTACCAATAGTTGCAAAAATTTTAATTAAGTCCTCTCGTAATATTCTATCATTTTATACCGTTTTTAAATTGAAATTGTGTGGATTGACGAGAAAATTTTAAAATTGAAATTTTAAATAAGAAATTCAGATAAAAAATGATACTACTCCGTAAACATCGAAAGATTTAAAAGTTCAACGTAAAAACTCGGACATGTGTAAGTATTGTTAATTTGTAATTTTAAAACCTTTGTAAAAGAACTAAATATAAATTTATAAAAATAAAAAAACCTATTTTTCTAATAAGACGAAAAAATAGCAAATGTCAAGGGCATACAGATTGTTACCTCTTGCGTTGACAAGATTAAAAATCCCATGGACAGATACCCGATCAAGTTTTTCTGAAATGTTGTACCATACTTCATTTGTTCCTTCTAAGTTCTTTGTTTCAGAACTGCACGCATTTACAGAACAATATTTAGTTCCTTCATTATAGCAATCAGATGTCTCAGATTGAAAATCTCGCAAGCTGGCCACCGATTGTTGCATATCATCCATTTATAATGCCACAAAAGAGAAGGAATGTTTTGTGATTGTTTTCCAAGTGTTTCAGACCTAATTTTTAATTCAGCTAATGTTTAATTCAGTTAAACATTAATGAAGGAAAACAAGTAAAATTTCTTTACTTAAACATTTCTGCTATACATGTAAATCTATGTTAACGTGCAAGTTAAGTCGCATCATTCTAGCACTGTTATACGTGAATACAAAGCAAAATAAAGCAAAATGTAAGGTTAGTAAGATGTCGCGGAACTGGAAAAGGAATGGATCAATCAAATCGATCACCATCACATCAACTGTTTGCCCTCGCTGTATGTTTAATTGATCATTTATATCATCATTCCAGAAACTTATTGAACTCCTTTCCAAAGCAATTTTTGGCGCAAACTTTTTGCAAAAATGTGATATTTAGTAGGTAGTATGGTGATCAATTAATCCATATTTTCATCTTATTTTTTAATTACACATTTTTTAAATTATTAATTAATTAATAAATAATAATAATGTCATTTATGAGCGCTCTATGCATAGCGTCAGATGCTGCTTCAATCGCTTTTTAAACGTTTAATTAATTATAATTAAATGATAAATACCCTGGTTGTTTTAAATCTGCCATTAAAAGTTTTGAATTTTTTTGAGAAAAAGTGATTGACAAATTTTACATAAACAAATGCTGTGATTATAACTTATTCTAGTCGGGGGCGGCGTTCGTTCAAGCCATATACATATTAATTATTATATTAATATTAATAATTATTATATTATTATAATTAATATATATGAGTCTAACTTATTCACCATCATCCATCAATTGTTTCATTTTGCCAATTTTTAAAAATGTATCCAAAAGATATCTGAACAAATGTCTATTGCCTAAATTTTGTATTAGTTTAAACATCTAGCTGTTATTAATGACGGTAAAAACGGTAATTAATGAATATTCATTCAAAGCGTCAACATAGCAGGTAGTGATTATTTTATTTTTTCTGTTCTTCGCTTATATAAGAAACAATTAACAAACTACATTCATACGAACAACTTCTAAAAAGATTTTTCATAAATCAGTCTCTTTCATTTTCAAACGTGTCCTATTGTCACGTCCATGAAAAACTCATCTGCGCGTGTCCGTGAGAACATGCTAAATGCTGATAAAGAAGTTTGTAGTATGCCAAGTAGGAAAGTAAATGAATTTTTGAATGAATGTCTTTCTTTCACAATTTTATTCAAAATGATTTATTGTTAGTTTTTCCAAACATTAATACAAACCAAATAGAATTGAATAATATTCTTGATGAAAATTTCTAGTTTTAAAACGAAATGAAAAACCAAAATTTTATTTCAACTCTGAACATTAATTAACATTAACTGAAAAAAAATGAAACTATAAACGAATTGAAATATGATTTTAATAATTAAATGATTAATACAAAGTTGTCATTTGTAAAAAAAAATTATTTTAACGATTGCTGCAAATTATCTTTCATCAGATGTTAAAACATCTTCAATTTAGATCGTTATTGTAATAATTAACTATTATCTCTACTAAGTTCTAAACTAGACCAATAAAATACAACCTAAAATTTATTAAAATACAATCGAGTAAGCTGTTAACACCATTGTTCTGATCGATACAAGTGGCTTACACATTAACCACACGATCATTGCTAGCTTATTGCTGAAGATTTTCAGCTATTTAATTTTTTCTAAGCAAACAAAGATGCAGTCAGAAAATAAAACGCAATATTATCGTGAACAATTTTTATGCTTGTACTATGTGTTTATACGTACGCAAATGTATCCGTATGAACGCGCGTTCATAGTGACATATAAACTAGGAAAATTAGTATAAATGTTTTAGCGTGGCTTTTTTCTGCAAACTGTAGAGCATTTTTTGATAGCTAAAATGATAGATCTTGAAAAGACGTAGTCGTGTACAAGTCAAGAAAATTTATGCCGTACAAATCATAAAATGTTCGATAAACTGATACGAGCCGCTTAGGTTTATTTAACTACATGTTATTTATAGTTTTTTAATATTTAATTTATACTTTCACACATAATAACCTATATTTAAATAATGAAACTTTTAAAAGGACACATTTCAACAAAAAACATGTAAAGAGAGGAAATAATATAATTTGAAAAACATATTTCATCAATTATAAGCTTAAAAAACCCTGACACAACATGAAGTATAGAAACTCTGAGAAGTGACTTTTTGAGTACTATCAACTTTTGGACCGGCTTTCCTTGGAGACTTGGGTTGGGCACCAAGTGGGTATAGAGTGAGGGAGATCATAGGTGCGTTCTACGAGTGCAAACGTTGGCATCGTCGGTCAGGGTTATACTGGGTGCGTGAGTGGAATACAAAAAAGATTGACACGTATGTGAATGTTATTTATTTCGTAATTTGATAATTTTTAACAGTTTTAATCTCGGTATAAATGTTATTTTATTGTATTAGGCAAAAAACTCATAGCTTGTGATTATTGACAACTCTGTTATAATAATATTATAATTATACAATGAATGTCGTGTGTAGCATAGAGTGTTTCAGGAGCTGTAAAAAAATTTAAACAAAAAATGCACTAGCGATGCCAAAAGAAAATGAAACGATATTGAAAAACTATATAAGCAAATAAACTGGAACTCAGATAAATATTAGCCAGCAGGAAAGTTGAACTTTTTTTATTCCTTAAAATTAAATACCAAAAAGTTTAGTCTTCATAAACTACTCTAAACCTATGTGAATTTCTGAACAAGTGCAAAAATTATTTAAAAATAACGCAATTTCTGTAAAATCTTAACTGAATTTGTGAAAAAGTAAAGAATTAAAAACATTTTGTAACAATTATTATTGAATGAACACCAATGTAAAACGAATTCCATGCTGACTTAGGGAAATCGCTGCAGTCCTCTATATTAAATATATTTTATAGTAGTTAAAGAATATTATATTTGACATGCTTTAAAGTTTAAATATTATGCAACAAGTTAATTTACAAGACATGCACATAACGTCAAAGTCTAAACGACCACGTGCATATATATATATACATATAAATATATATATTGTATATATATATATATAATTGTTAAAAAATATCCATGTATTTTTAGCTTTGATCAGTTTCAGGTTCAATTTTTCAATATTTCATATCGCATTTTTATCATCGTTTTATAACTTAACTATATAGAAAACAATGTTTTTAACTACTTTTATATTCATTTTTATCATACATAGAAAGAGCTTTTTTCGGCAATCCTTTACTTTTAAGATTGTTTTTAAAATAAAATTCATAAGAATAATGACAAAATGAATAAAAATGTAGTTTGTTTGTTTTTGTTTTGTTTTCTATATAAATAAGTTATAGAACGATGTTAAAAATACCATACGAAATACTAAAAAATTGAACCAGAAACGAGTCAAAGCTGAAAATGCAGTGATGTTTCTTAACAATTGTATCTACAAGCCTTAACACAGATCGGTGTGTTTGCTGTATGTGCCCAAGTAAATCATCCAGAGACGCCTACTTTAAAAAATTATTTAGAAAAGGGGGTAAAGATGAAATATTTCTCTCGTTAGGTAAACATTTTCAAAACTCGAATAAGAGTATTGGATTCAGCAATGGTTTTTAGCGTTTTCTGTCAAAATTATTGAAATGAACGAGAAGTGCACAGTCGGCGTACGGTTTATACATTATTAAAGGTATAAAATCGACCAAAAGAAATAGGAAAACTGCGCGTCATGAGTGTAGAAAAAAAATATAATAATATCTAATTTAGAGATCTACGTAACATTATTAAACTCGTTTATTCGTCATGAAAAAATCATGTTTTAAAAATTAACATTGTTATTACTAAACATATGAAAAAATGTTTAAAAGTCAAGGATTGGCAGTTCAAATATTAAAACATTAAAGATAACAAAACTTCAAACGCCATTACCTCTACTTTTACCATAAAATAAACTTTAAAGAACGAAGAGGAATGCTACAGGTCATTATACATTGAAGAAAATCCATGTCAGTATTACGTTTCATCGTATATGAGCGTTACAAACTTTTATTGCACATAAAACAAATCTATAATAATTAATGCAAGACGTCTAACTTCTAAGACGTCTAAGCATGCGTCGAAGTTAGACAGTAGGATAACGCATGCTAGGAAAAAACTTATTAAAACTACTCAGTGTGAGACGCACAGCTCATGTTATTCAGTGATTTTACATGCAAACCCACTTTGCTATTCAAAGATTTTACATATAAGTTATCGAAAATGAACAATTCTATATGCGAATAGATTAGAAACTTAAAATTGAGAGCATATTTAAATTTAGCAGGTAAAACGGTCTCTAAAATATCGAAAAATGATATGAACTTGTAACGCACATTAATGCGAAATTTCTATTTGAAAAAAATATCAGCTTAACTCTTAATTTTAGTATTGATTTAACTACCAAATATTAATGTAGCGTTATAGTTAGTTCACTGATAAAATAGTTAAATTGAAAATTAAGTCCATAACGAATTTATTTGTTAAAAAAGAAAACGTACAATATAAAATAGGAAAAACCCATTTTATAATAAAACATTGTAAACAAAGACTATAAACAAAAAATTTTGGAATGACTATGTTTTTATTTACCTGTTGTCGTGGCTAAAATTACAAAAAAAAAAAACAACAAAACAAACGTCCAACACATTATATTATAACAATCTTCTAGCTTACAATTTTGTATACACATTAAAAAAACAATCATTGGCTCCATCAAAAATTAATAATAAATTGACAACCACTAAAATACATATTTTCCACATATGATGCCAATAACTATTGAGAGGCATACAATGACGAGAGCATACATGTAACTTCCTTGACCTTGCCTGGCATTGAAGAACTGAGCGAAAACATTGCCCTTGTTTTGGCGCCCATCCTAATTTAAATTAAATACCTTCAATATCTTTAAAATTTTAAAATAGATTGCATAGAAATAAATTAGAAAAATTACTGACTCTGGTTATCGTAAAAAAATATTAAAATTAAGATGTGGTAGTAAACAATAACAGGTATTTAAATAACGTAGGAATATTTGGAGAAAGACAAACCTTCCTGTCCGCAAACATGGTTGCACTGCCTGTCCCTCTTTCCTTCAATTGCAAAAAAATTTTGATACAAATGTTTTTTGTATCACAATAATTCAAATAACTTGAACTCATAGTTTATGCAGACAATCAAAATTTAAAATTGTTCAGAGACAGTCAACAAGTCAAAAAATGTCAACAAACTTCATCAAATTTCAATAAACATTCTTGAATATATATCACTGACGACGAACAATGATAACAAATATTTTCATTTTTTCATGAGGTTAGTTTATGACAGAAATAATAAAAAAATTTATTTATTAGCCTAACATAAAAAAATGAAACTTTTATAACAAAAAATTACAAATAGGCGAATAAACAATTTTTTATCTCAAACCAAAGGATAAAACCATCTAACACAGTGTGAGGAGTTAATGAAAAAGTGACAACATTTCGACTAATTTAAAACAAACAAATATATATTAAACAAGTCAAGTAACATGCTAAAATACATAATTGCAACAACTAACCTCAAAAACGCATTTCAATTTATGCTCAATAATGTCTTCTTGTTTAACTTCTTTCCACTGAAAACAAATAATTGAGTAAAAATACAACTAGAATTTAAAATAAAAGAAAGAAAAAAATATATGGATATTTATGTCATCATCATCATGTACGTTTATAGGTGCTCAACTCTGGGAGACAGTGTTCGTTTCAGAGTTCGCTGATGAAAACTTCGGGGTGGCCTTGTTGCATGATCAAGCTCATTTAACCGTCCGTTAGAGTCTTCTCTATTCTGGGCCAGTTCTGTTTTCAGGCCCTCATATCCTTTGGCAACACTTCTTCCCAGGTGAGCTTGGATCTGCCACTTTTCCTTAAACCGCCAGATATAATAATTCTACATTTCTTCATCCAGTACTCATTTGCTTTCCTCTCCACATGATCGAACCATCTCAGTCTAACCCTTTCTTTATTAAATCATTACTATTCCTCAAGGACACTCCTATTATTTTTCTCAACATCTACATATCCGTTCTCTCCAGCCTTCTTAAGTTTTCAGCCGTCATAGAACAAGTTTTGCATCCATACAACAGGCAACTTCTTATACTCAAGTTCTTTGTATAACTCCAGCTGTCCAGAGTATTTAGACTGTTTATATATATATATATATATATATATATATATATCTGTGTGTGTGTGTTGTGTGTGTGTAATTATTAAGAAATATCTCCGCATTTTTCGCATTGTTGAGTTTGTAACTAAGTTTTTCAATTTTTCAAACAATTATTTTATCAATATTATTCAATTTATACAAATTAATAAAAAAAAGTTCCAACTATTTTAGACTGCATTTTTCATATATATTGTATACATTTACATAAAAGCTTTTCTCTGTAACCTTTACCATCATCATTGTAATAGAGTTTGTGATATTGTTATATCAGGTATTTATGAAAAAAAAATATGTAAATATACCATTTTCATTAAATTCTCTCTATATAATATTATTTACTAATTTAAATTTCTTTATTTTTCTAACAATATATAAAAATTATTCAAATTATGACACTGACAATGGCAGTTTTAATTTTTTAAGTTTTTATTAAATATATTTTAATAATTTATTTTTATTTTAATATGTTATTTTCAATTAATAGCAATAAAATGATTATTATAAAATATTTTGTTAATTTAATTAATAAACTAAATAAATTACAATATATTATTAGAAAAATAAAGAATTTAATGAAAACTATATATAATATATATAAATATATATGAATGTTTGCGTGTGTGTGATTGTGTGTGTGTATGTTTGTGTGTGTGTGTGTATGTGTAATAAATCCCACCGATTTAGGATTTATTTATTAGTGTGTTTATCATCTTATATTCGAATTTTTTAATTTCTTTTAGTAAATTTTTATCATCAAGATTGAGTCTATTTAACATTGAAACTTTATTTCTATTAACAAACATTTTATTAAAATTATTGCAAATAGATCTATTTCAACATTAAACCGTCATCGTCGGTCCATAGTTTATTGATTTAGAATTATAGCTTTAATATCACTAAAAATATGTATAAATAAATTCGGAAAAGGAACATGAGATTCTAATGAAAAATTTTAACAACAAAAAACTTAAAAAGTTTAAAAAATTTGAATGATAGTTGTCAATGTTGCTATTATTTGCTATTAATTGCAAGGTTGTTACTAAGAAAAATTGAAAAATTCAAATACGAGTTGATAAACACTAATAACACTAATAAATCGTCATATTGTAAGAATTTGGTCTTCATATAAATATATATATATATATATTATATATATATATATATATATATATATATAGTCAAAACACTCTGGACAGCTGGTATTATCATGTCTAACATCCTTCAACTTCTTTTTGAAAGCAAGATAACGGGACAGAAGCCTAGCATTAACCAATTGCACATTTCAGATGACTCGTCGAGTCAGTTGCAAAGCAAAACATCTTCTCACATTATTATTAGAGGAAAATCAATTTGTGCATTTAAAGATTTTCCAGGGAGCTATTTCGTTAGCCTCAAACGATAAATAATTTTTGGCCAGGGAATTTTAGTTGCAGCAAACTGAACAAGCCGTTTTAACTTATTTCTTTCTAGTCATAAGAAAATAAATTTCATTATTATAAGCACTAATATCATAATTATTGCAGACCATCCTTAAACTCCAATCTATTATTTTTTATTGAGCTGCAAACGTTACTAACACACACAAACACACAACACACACATTATATGTTATCAGTAAATGATCAAAGACAGGAAAAAGAAAAACAGTTTAATGTTTATATGTACGTACACATACATACATTTATATTACATTCATGATTTAACAAATATAAATATGTCTATATATATAAAGGATAATTCTATTTTAAACTGGTAAAATGTGGAATAGCTATAGAAAACCTTGGTGGCGTGAGTGAATGTCTTGAATATGTTGGAAAACGATGAATTTGTATGAGAATTATGTATTACAAAGAGTTTATGACATCTAGAGATGAATGAAACAGAGTGAGGCTGAAAGAACTTAAGTTCTTTGAAGCCAGAACACTTTGTAATTGACTGAGTAAGATCAATTTAGCATGTGAATTGCAAATGTGGAACAGGAAAAATTCAGAGAAATAGTTCAATGTCATGCCATGTGGCAACCACATATGATGCATACAAGCAAGAAGCTGAAAATGAAACTGGAGAAATCAATGTCTGCCGATGATTTAAAAATCAAAGATTACAAAAAATTATTAGAATTACTGAAATGAATGAATTTGGCAATGAAAAGATAAAAAACAAATAGAAATAGGACGAGTTATAAATGTTAAATTCTGATGGTAGGTGCATGTTAAAAAAGTTTATTTGATTGGATGAAGCATTCAAAAATCAGTGGCAAAGATATATAAAGGTACATATATTTGAACAAGCATTGAAACATTTTAATTTTTAGCCAAATGTTTATAACATGTCAGTTAATTGCACAATTGAATAAAACATAATTAATGAGTTTGTTAGCAAAATTTATGCTTCATTGATCAGCACTGATTAAAGTAGTCTTTCAACTATTTGCTACTTATGCATACATATCCTCTTTGCTATTTGAAATGTGTCATGCAAGAACTGGTGAAGCATTCTTATTCATTTGTTTATGAGATAGATTAAGAGCAACAAATAGCAAGATTTTCATCTGAAACTCTTCAGATGTTACAGTCAAATTTTAATAAAAATAACATTTAACACGGATTGTGTTAGCCATCATTGGTTTACACATTGAATTTTTTCTTCTTGCCTACAGTTCATAATGATATCATATATAATAAAGACATCTTTCCATCACCACCCTTCAGTCAATCTACCACTGAATACAACATTTAATGGCAGTTGTTCAAAATAAATTTAACAAAATTTTTTGACAATAAATAAGTATGAAACATTTTGTTTGAAAGTAAAAATAGGAATGTAGTTTGAAAACAGACATACCACTAATTCAGGGCTCTCCAAGTTAGCCTCATTGACCAGTATGGATTGGATGAGGAATTTGTGTTTGAGCTTATCGTTTGGATTATAATTGAAGGGTTGTAACATCACTGGATTGATTATAAGTTTAGAGCGTAAATGATATATTGAAAAAATGTCAAGTACAAATTTATAAAATGTTTGGCATGTAATATATGTATAATAAATAATTAAATATAATGTTACAGATTGAAACTTAAAAGCATATAAAAACACAAGTAGCTAATCAACAACAATTGAGAGACTATATAATTTTCAATAGCTATTGTAAAGTTGATAGAAACTTAACTACCAAGTCGTCAATAATAAACTATAGAATACCTGTTATGTTAACAGATTGGCCAGGATTAACAAAGCCACAATTTGGCCTAACACAGTATTGTTTGGGTGCTGTTGTCTTAACTTTAAATCCAGCAATTCTATCGCTAGGATTTGTAATAATGATACTAGAATTTACCACTTCATTGAATGGCCCTACAAATTTATATTATAATATTAATAAAATGTTTTAAAATATTAATTCTAAATAAATGAAAAAAAACTTTACCCTTATTTTTAATAATGATTATTATTCATTTAATTAAATAAGATACTTACTTTCTTAAAATATCACATGACCTGTTTATTACTTCTGCTAGCTAAACAGAACAAGATCAGAGTTTTAGATTTCCATAGGAAAACTTATTTATCACAAACAAGCATTAATAAAAAAAAACAATTATTGAAAACTCAAACTCAGTTTGAATAAATATTTTTATGCTTCTTAGACATTTTACAATCATTTTATCGTTTATCATTCCTTCATTCAATTTTAAAAAAAGACACTCTCTATAAGCTTTTACCACAAAAAATTTTTTTATTTTCTTTCTTCTGAATATAAAAGATGCAGAACATTAATAGAGTTGTCTAATCTTATTACTTATAATAATATTACAATGAATAATTTAAAATTTAATAGCTAGAGCTAGATCAATTTATAATTTTGATTTTTAATTGAATGTGTATGAATGAATTATAATTATTTATGTTGTATGACAATGATTACAAATCATTAAAAAAAGTAAAGTTTGAAAAATGTTGACCTTATATTGCCAAATTTATTTATTTAATTATATTAATTAAACATCTAAAATGACTGGATCCATTAAAATTTATTTATTCAGTGACTAAACTAAATTCAATTAATTAATAATATTTCTAATTTTGAAAATTAAAAACTATCTCATCTGGAGCAGAAAACTTACAGATCTAATTAATACCCTTAAACCACCAACAAATAAAACTAAAAAATACAATCCGTTTCATCTATCAACATCTTTATTTTAAATTACCTTCAAAAACTAAATCTTCCTGAGGCTCTATTTTTATCGGGACCATTTTTGAGTTTTAAAATTTAAATATCCAAAATCCTTGAAAAATTCGACACCAGTATTGAGCCAATTAATTATGACTAATTCGCCACATTAAATTTATGGGCATTTTTTAAATTGAATGCGCAAATTAAAAAAATATATTGTCCCAAAATAGGAATCAGCCAATTCTATGCTCATTCCATTTAATGTTTTATTTAAATTACTAATTTTATGAGTTTCTTAATAAATGCGCAACTTACTCGTTCAACATGTTTTTGTATTTATACGAATTTTTGGCATGATCTTGCTATTATTTTATTTTCATTCGTTCGCAGAATAATTTTTTGAAATTTTATTGAGTCGATTAATTTTAATGTCCTGAACTTATTGTGCTTTTAATAACACTTTTTTAACATTTTACATTACCTTGTAAATGTAAAGTTTTGTAAACGAGTTGCTCCCTGTTTTGTTAATTAATTAAATAAAAATCAATTCTCAATTGCCTCTTCTCCGTTTTTTTTAAATTCGACACAAAAATCAAAATGGAAGACGAAGCAGAAGACGAAGTTAGGTGTGATGTTGAACCATTTCCTAGAGAAAGGTCGAACACTTGGCATGGCAGTCATGCAGTTTTTGTAGACCACAAGCCTTCCAAGTTTGCTGCCATCTCTGAGAGAGTAAGTAATTAAATCTCTAGTATAGTATAATAAAAAAACCTTCTATTTGAGTATTTTAAGTATGCATGACAGATGCAGAATAAGAATAAGTTGTTACATGACTGATAATTACAACATGACATGTAAATTGTAAAATAATTATATAAATGTCATATATAAGTATTATAATAATTATATGTTTAAATTTGAATGCTGGTTAAAGACCATATTATAATTAATGCAATAATTTTAGAAATTCAGTAGATTTCATAAATCACTATATTTATATATTTTTATAAGTTAATTTTTTGTTAATAAAAAAATATAATAAAAAATTGAATGTATTATTACAGTCATCTTGTTTGAACCAAAATGAAGATGAGGATGATTATAATGGTTGCTCAGATGTTTTAACATATGAAAGTCACTTACAAAGCAGTGATCAGGCAACTTATGATGAAAGTGATCACTTGCTTGCTTCAAACTCATCTGCTGGACGAAGGAATTCAGTTAGGCGAAATGCTTGGGGGAATGCATCTTATGCTGAGTTAATCACTCAAGCAATTGAAAGTGTACCTGATAAAAGATTAACCCTGATGCAAATATATGACTGGATGATTCAGAATATTCCTTATTTTCATGAAAGAGCAGATGGGACCAATTCAATGGGATGGAAGGTTTTATTAATGAACATTTATGTTTTATAAAAAATAATTCAAAATTATTTGTTTTGTATTCAATTTAGAATTCAGTAAGGCACAATTTGTCTCTACATGATCAATTTTCTCGCATTCAAAATGAAGGAACTGGAAAAAGCAGCTGGTGGGTGGTGAACAAGTCCATGTTAAAGTCAAGATTACCAAGAACAAGGCGAGCCACAATGGGCGACACTGCTCTACTTGATAAAAAAAGATTAAAGGCTGGGAAAAATCTCAAAAGATTACTTGGCTATACAAGTACAAGTATGTTGTACAATGAGGATAAAGGTGAAGATGGAGATGAAAATATCGCTATTGATGTAACAGTTAACACTGGTCATAGTTCACCAAAAACTGCTGAGGGTAAAGCAAAACGTGAGGCCACATTATCCCCTTCAGATAAGAGCTACTTGCAGGAAGACAAACGTTTTGGTCATTCATTAGGAGGTGTTTCCAAAAAAATTAGAACTTGTTCAGTTTCCACAGAAAATTCTGTTCCGAACTATGAAGTGGCTGTCCCACAAGATAGTTGCAGTCAGAGAAGATCATCTTTCACAGTTAGTTCATCAAGTAATGATTTTGAGGATGATACTGCTCAAAAGCCACAATCTAAAAAAGCTCAGTTAATCAATGTGCTATTAAATAGACAAAAACTGAAAAATTCTATGATAGCCCAACAAAAGCAACAACATCATCACCACCAACTTCAAAACCAACAAAACTTACATCCAATTTCACCAACATCAGTTTCATATGTGGTTTGTACAAGTATGCCACTAACTATTCAACCAGGTCAGTTGTGTTTAGCTATGAGTTCATTTAACAACAACAACAACAACATTGCTTCATCACTGCAACTCCAGCCTCAGGCTCTTCAATTTCAATCTTCGCACTTACAGCTGCAACAACCGCAAATACAGTTTCAAGCAAGACAAATCAGTCAAATACTGCAACTGCAACCTCAGCATATCCACATTCAACAGCAACAACTACAACTACGGCCACAATGCTTACAGGTTCAGCCTCAACATTTGCAGTTCCAATCTCATCAACTACTACTTCAACCACAATTACATATACAGCCACAAATTCAGCAGCAGGCCACCAACAACATAATTTTAAATGTTCAACCTCCTAGTAACCAGATTCCACCATTGACTATAAACACATCAACTAATGACCAACCTTTTGTTTTATACGTGGCCACAAGCAAAAGTAATGCTGCAGCAAATCAAAGCCAATCTAGCCAGGTTAGTTTGAAAAATTGATAAATATTTGATTTTTTGTATAAATAACCTGTGTTATAATCCAACAGCTACTGCTTACCGGAAGGCAATCTTTTTCTGATCAGGATATTGATATATCACAAGGAAGGTTGCTTCAGCAAGCATCACAAAGTGCAACTTTTGATCCTAACAGATCACTATTACATATCAACAAACCAAGCACATCTGCAGACTCTCAGATGATCAACAAATATATAAATACAGATTTGAACAAACAAGCACTGAACATGACCCTGACAGATCCAATGGCCTGCAATAAAGAGGAAAGTGATGAAAGTGATGATGAAAACTTGCTTCTTCAACAACACCTTTGGCAACAACAGCTGCAACATCAGCAGCAGCAACAACTACAACATAAGCAGCAGCAACTGCAACATCAGCAACAGCAGCAACAATATTATCAGCAGCAGCAACTACAGCAGATCCAACAACAAAGTTTATCTGAAAGATGTTCTTCACAGCAGTCACAAATCTCAGGCATGTCAGAAAAGAGACAGAAAATGTTGTTGAACCTGTTGCATTCGGAAAGATTTTGTGAAATTCGTAGGAACAACCCAGAATTTAATAAAAAAATTGTAGAAATTTTGGAAAGAAAGAAGAAAATGTTACAACAGTCTCTATTTAGTTTAGTTAATGTTCCTGCTGAATCCTGTTCCCGGCAACAACATCTAGGGGGAACGTTTTCAAGAGCAGAAAGGTTTGGTGAATGTTCTAGAAGTGAACAACAACAGTCTCAACAACATTGCCCGTTTCCTGAGCAACCGCCACAAAGCCATTTTGACATAGTCAATAATTACATATCAAATTTGAGTTCCTCGGATGACAATTCAGAAAAAAATGTTCTCCCAGATGATAAAGAACAAAATCAAGCAATCAGCAGCAGTAATATCGTGAGTGATGGTGATGACGACGGTAACTTGCCACAATTAGATGGCGCCGTTGATAGAATGCATACTGAGGATTTGGAGACAGAATCTAAAATGTCAATAAATGATGATGAAGTTGACAAAGTAATCAATGACATTAACTTTGAGGAAAGTATAAATGAGTTATTTAACGTTGAAAGTTTGTTGAATTGTAATGATGACTTTACTCACTCATTTCCAAATGACTCTCTCTAGATTGGATCTTTATCACCATCAAATAGACGGCTTAAAGCTTGTTCACTTATGAACGATGTTTGAAGTGCTCGTGTACTTTTAGTTCGTTCATCAAACATTTACAAGCCTTTTTTGTAATATAGTAATTTGGATTGCAATGTTTTTAGAACAGTCATCTTTATGTAGTTTGAGACAAGAATGTTACTTGGTCAACATCTTGTATTTGTGTGTCCAAGTTGAAGCTAAATGTTTTAAAAAAAAAGTTCCTTGGTTGCTATTAAAATTAAAGCATAAAATTAACTTTAAGCTTGTGCAATTAGCTATGATGTTGAAAATGATGATGCTGATGATGTCGCTGATGATGTCGGTGATAATGGGGATGAGGTCATGGTTTCGCTTTTTAGCTGTTTAATGATATTTCAGCATCATTAACCTTATTCAAGACCCAGCATCATCAACTTATTCAATGCTTGTAAATTATAAAATTATCACTTTTCAAAAAACGACTGCAAAACATTTATATTTAATTAGCGATTTATATTCATATTTAATTGTACCGTATTAATTTCATATTTATTGGTGTTTCAAGCTCCACGAACCATCTTTGAAAAGCGTATTAATTATAATTTTTCAGTTAAGAAAAGTCAAACAAATCAGTCCAGCTGTTCTGTAACTAATCATATTTATGCTACAATATTTCTAATACCAAAACTGACGTATTTGATTTAAATTTTTGGTCTGATTGAAATCTGTACTCATGTCATTTGTTGTTTATTTGACAGAATTTTGCGATCGTGCAAGCAATCATGGTGGCAGTATACAATTGTATATATTTTTAAGGTTGTGTCATTCTGCTGATTTGATGGTGGACTTGTAGGCGTGTGTGATGAAAATGTTTGTGAAGATGTCTATTCATTCATCACTACACACCGCTAGTTTTTCCATCCATTCATTCATTGTGTAGAATATTGAAATTTGAGTACTTCCGTCTAATGAAAATATTCCGTCTCATAGCAGCAAATCAATGAATTTTGATTTGATCCTAATGTACTGAGTTTATTTTAATGTTTTTACCATCATGTAGACCTGATAGTTTTCATAAATGCATAAAATTTTTGGAACAACTTAATTGTTGATTCATTATATATAAGCTTCTAGGTTGAGTTTTTTACTACTATTATCTATAAAATGTTTAATATTAATCGTTCTTTTTTGTGTCAAATGTTGCTCTTGTTTTTATAAAAGTGATTAATGGTTATTAATATTTCACTTATTATAAGCATAACGGCAGCTTAACTAAATAACGATTATATTTATGACTTTCAAAGTATTAAACAAATAAGACTTTTCATTCTTGTGTTATTTTTAACTGATCGAATGAATCGTTAAATTTCCCGCATTACGAATTTTGATCTGCGACCAAGAATTTCGGTAATATTTTGCTGTTAATAAAATATTTATACAAAAATTATGGGCACGGAAACATGGTGCCACCTTTTATTGGAAAACATAGATTCGGTAACATTGAAAACCTGGTGCTCCTCATTAAACGCTTAAAAGATTTTATATTTAGTTCAGACAGGTTATATGACGTACCCACTCTACTTGTTGGGTTGAACCTAGTGAAAACTGGTCAGAAATTAATCTTGCGCAACACGAAAAACAGATCAAGTGGAAAAACATTGGCGTTGGGTACAAATTTTTACTTAACGAATATTTTTTGCAAAACAGCAATTAACTTCATGTTTTATGAAAGATACAAGGGCTTATGTATAGAATTGATTGATTTTTTCTGTCTCCAGTCTTTTTTTAAGTTTTTTAAACGTCTCAGTCTCGTCGTGTCTCAGTTTTTATAATCTTTGAATGAAAATGTTGAAAAACCAAAATATTTTCTGTAGTCCTCCATATATCTTCTTTGATAAATTTTGCGTAAGTTTCTCTTTCTTTAAAATTCAAAAATCAAATTATATTTCAAAATTTTCCTTCATTTTTAGTACGAGAAAGTAGATATATTTCATTAATTGTAAGTCAGTTAATATTTTGAACAATTAACTAGTTAGGAAAACGACAAAATTGGTCATCATTTTTTAATCCACGTCAAAATGACTGTTTTATCTAACATTGTTTGGACTTATGTGTTTGTTGTTCCTAAATTTGTTGGTGGTTGTATTAAAAAGAGCCAAAGAGATATTAACATTTCTCTGTTTGCCATTTTTGTCATCGACATTTTCAATGTCTTCGTTCGTATTGGGGAAGTATATTAGAAATTGGAAAGAATTGAGTTAGAGAAGCTGTCATGTCTGCTTTTTCACAATCTATGTTTAATGACATTGAATCAAGAATAACACCAAATGCTACATTTATTTAAAATATTATAAATTTGCGTTCGCGTTTGAATTAATAAGAATTTTATATTGTTATAATGATGATAAACAAAAGTGGGTCTAAAAATATTATAAAATTACGAATATTTATGCTGGTCCAGGTTAACGTTGCACTATTGTTCGTTTTCTTTTTCATGTTTTTGCAGGTGCAGGTAACTCACAAAAGCACATTTTAGTCAACACACTATTTCACCAATTTGGCATAGTAAGCAGTACGTCTCTGTTGACCAAAATGTTTTGTATGAATTTTGAATTACCAAAAAACACCTTAGTTTGCAATATAATCTACTGAAATAATAAAAGCGCTCTTAAAAGAAGTTTTAACCTGTTAACCATGGTTTTAACTCGGGCAACTGAGGAATCTAGTGAGGCGCGCGCGTTTAGCCTAGTACGTGTTAAGCATTCACATTCACATTAATGCACCTTTGGCCGTTGTGAGAGATGGTGTTCTGTTAATTATGTACCTAATACCTGCAGTAGCAGAATCACAAATTCTCGACTACATGATATGCTGGATATGCTGGTAAAAGACAATAATTAAAGCAGTAATTTATGAAATCAACCAAATTTCTAGCGTTTTTTATTACATTTCTCAATATTTCGAACCAAACTCTTGTCGACATTTGGTTCGAAATATTGAGAAATGTAATAAAAAAAACTTTCCAACGCTAGAAATTTGGTGTATTTCATTAATTACTGAATATATATATTTGATATATATATATATATATATATATATATATGATCAGTGTTGGGGAGTAACAAATTACTAGTAACAAAATTACTGTAACAAATTACTTTTTCCAGTAACAAGTAATTGTAACAGATTACTTTTTGTGCAGGGTAACAAGTAACCGTAACAAATTATTTTTTTGCAGTAACAGTAACAAATATTATGCACTTTTGTTCTTCGTTACTTTTTTCAGCAGTGCGTGATTTATAACCATCATTGGTTGTCCTGTTGCGGCTCAGTCGTTCATTAGACGAACCATTTCCATGACTTGCCAATTTAATATTCTATGCTTGTATGCACTTCCTTTTCTTGTTTATGTTTACTCTCAGTCTCAGCATTTCACGTGGTTTGTGATTTAGTAAGTTGCGCGGATTTAGTTGGCATAATGGAAGACGAGAAGGAATTGGATTCAACTGATAATGAAGTAGGCCAAGTAGCTTGGATGGAACAACTGAAGGAATATTTTAACGTAGTTGAAGAAGAAGGAAAGAATGTGAGAGTACAGTGCAAGCGGTGCTTACCAAAACGAACGATTCTTAGCACATCGAAGATCAGCCCAGCGAATCTTTTAAAACACGTGGAGGTAAGGTTTTTTTCAATGTTAGCGAAAATTTGTTTTTTAATAAATTATCGGTTTTTTCGGAACGAAATAATGCCTGAATGGGATGCAATGAATTATCTACAACACCCAATTTTTATTCCGCATTCATCCGATGAATTAGCAAATGCTGTTATTTACAACTGAATTGAACAACATACATAACTGAATGGATATTAGCTTGTGTTTGTCTATTTTTTTAAATATTAACGAAATAATATTTAAAATTGAATGATGTGTGAACTTGTACAGAAGAAACATCAAAACATCTTGGAGAAAGTAAAGGAATGCCGGAAGAGGAAGGCTACTAGTGAAGTGTCCGACATGCCTGCAAAGAAAGCCTGCATACAAGCAACTGTGACAACATGCACCCCACTTGGTAGTTCTGTAATTTCGCAGGCGAAGGTCGATCAGCTGGTGACAAACTTCATTGTCGAGTATATGGAGCCAATGAGCGTCGTCGAATCTCAACTCTTCATCGAGCTTGTTCAAGGTCTCCAGCCAACAAAGAAAGTTTTGTCGAGAAAAACTCTTAATGGTTAGTTCAATCTCTATAATATAATATGATTTTTTGTGGTTCGTTACATTAATTGCTTATTTTGAACGATGTCAAATAAAAGTAAATACAATCCTTAAGACCCTACTAAATTTGCAACACGCGTCTTTCTGTTTACAGATAAGTTGGACAAACTCGCGGACACGATGAAGGAAAGCATCTGTGCAGCGCTCAGCAAAGTCGATCATGTGTGCACAACAGCGGATATCTGGTCATCCAACAACAGGAGCTTTCTAGGCATCACAGTGCACTGGATTGATCCTGATACTCTGGAAAGACGTTCAGCGGCTTTGTGCTCTGAGGACAATATTGCTGAAGTTTTTGTAGCTCTTGAGGTCCCACAATTTCGTCCCAATGACATCCTTTTCTTGAAAGAGTATTGTTGTGTTATGCAACCACTGGCAGCTGCATTGGACATACTCCAAGCAGAAACGAAGTGTTTTATTGGGTTTTTGTTGCCAACGTTAATGTCATTGCGTACAAAGTTACTAACAGTAAAACCAACTTTGAAGTTGACAGCGCCTTTGCTTACTGCTGTTTTATCCGGCCTTGATAAGCGATTTCAAGGTTATGATGAACGTCATGATTTGATCATAGCTAGTGTCATATTGCCTCAGTTTCGTATGAGATGGATTGACAATAACGACAGGAAAAAGATTGCTCGTAGTTTACTGTATGGCGAGTTGCAGGCTGCTAAACAGCAGCAGCAGGTCACTGAGCCTGATACTGATGACAAGCATGAGTCAGGTACTGTGTCAGATGATGAATTTTTTTCGTTTGCAAATGAACCACGTGACAACGTTGATGCTGCTGCAGAACTTGACTTGTATTTAAGTGATAATTCTCGTGAAATTGCATGCCTGCAAAAATACCCGGGTATTTTGAAGTTGTTCAAGAAATTCAATACACCATTACCTTCAAGTGCACCGGTTGAGAGACTTTTCAGTTTAGGTGGTCAGATACTGGTTCCTAGAAGGAATCGGATGACTGATGAGCATTTTGAGCGTCAACTGCTTTTGCGGGCAAATAAATTATTTTCTGCCAAATAAGTGATTTGTGTACATTGTAAATTTAGGTGCTACCAATTACATGTATCTTATTGACTATCTTTCTATGTATTGTATATGTATATTCATGTGCGCACCTATTAATGTTGATATTGAGAATATATGAAAGAGTACTTGCAGCGTCTGTTTACATGTATGCTGTACTGTAGTAACAAAAAAGTAACTTTGTTACTTTTTATAGTAACAAGTAACAGTAACAGATTACTTTTCTATAAATATAACAAGTAACAGTAACAAATTACTTTTTCCCAAAGTAACAAGTAAAAATAACAAATTACTTTCAATGAGTAACAAGCACAACACTGTATATGATATACATATATATTTGATATACATATATATTTGATATACATATATATTTGATATATATATTATATTTGATATATTTTGGTAACAGACTGTTGTTAACGCAACACTCCAAAAATTCAACACTACTTTCAACATTGTTCAACTTTTTTATTTCTTTTTAATTCATTAATGTCAGAAAAATTAGACATTTCATTGTTTTAAAAATTTTATTAAATAAATTTGCAGATAGCTATTTCGAGTTATAGATAATTCATCTTCAGTGCATTATATTTAATGTATGTAAGGTATTTGATAAGATCATGCATCTTCAGTGCATTATATATAATTTTTTTTAATTTATTTAATAAAATTTTTAAAACAATAAAATGTCTAATTTTTCTGACATTAATAAATTCAAAAGTAATATAAAAAAGTTGAACAATGTTGAAAGTAGTGTTGAATTTTTGAAATATTTGATATATGTATATATATTTTTATATATTTGATATATATATATATATATATGATATATACGTATATATTTGATATATATATTATATATATATATATATATATATATATTGGGTTTAGACTATCATAAATACAATTATTTATAAAGATCACTGCGTTTTCGACATTATTCAAATTGTAGTTGAGTTTCTCAATTTTTCTAACAAGATTTTTATCAGTTTATTAAGGTTAAATAAAAAACTTTTAAAATTTGACATTTTTGACAAAACATTATTAATAACGTTATTACTACAGAAAAGCTCTTTTCGGTATCAACTGCCATCATCAGTGTAGTTATATGGTTAAATTATGATGAAAAAACAGCTATTGCCACCAATCACCCAGATAATCGTACAGAAACTCAATGAAACTAGACAAAACAATTTCAAAATTTAAAGAGTTGAAAATCGAAAGGCCAATATTAGATTGCCCAACCAGATATAATATGATGACATCATCATACAATGCAAACAGTTTGGTTCAACCTCGATTACTATTTTTCTGGAAACAAATAGGACAAACATAATTCATTAGCTACTGCACTCCTTCAAAACATCTTTGTAATGATTGTTTTAATTTGTTGAAAAAAATATTAGAAACGTTTCCTTTTATACTGACAACATTTAAAAATCATTTTTGTTATTGATTTCTTATTATTCACAAGTTGTTAAATTTAATTCAAATTGACATAGTGGTGGATAGTGGGAAGTCTGTTACATGTTTTTAAGAAATTATGCTTGAAAAAATTAAGTTCTGGAGCGAAACCGAAAACCAATAAAGACGGATATTATTTCAGGAACGAAGCCGAACCGAAATTCGTTTTGCTGACTAAACGGACTAAACTGTGAACCGAAACGAAAAAATTAGGGTTCGATGCCCTGCATAGGACAGCGTTGTATGTGTTGAATCAACAACAAACAGACTCAAATGTCTATGCCTACGAAAGCAAAATTTTTTTTCAATAATCTTTCTTTGGTTTATTATCCGTTGCTACGATAGCGCAAGCGCAAAGAGGTTTCTAGAAGTTTCTTGTATTTTCGTTATCTTTATTTAGAAAGGTTTCCGCGAGTCGCCGGCTAAATTTACCGCGCGTTCCGAGTTTTGGCTTCTTTGTTGTGTAGTTGATCACCAAATCTTTGTTTATTGTTTCAGATTTGTTCTCTGACAAGAACTGATTTACAAACGTGCTTGGTAATTGTGGGCAGTCAAACCATTTTAAAAAATGTCGGTCATTGGAATTGATATTGGTTACCAGACCAGTTACATTGCTGTCGCCAGGCAAGGTGGGATCGAGACCATAGCCAATGAATACAGTGACAGATGTACTCCGTAAGTTTTGGTCTTCTTTGGAATGGCTGTCTTGTTTTGTGTTAAAAGTTAAATGGTGATTTTGAATTTTAACTTTTTTGTTAATGGTTTTAATTTAATTAAGTAAGTTAATTTTTAATTAATTAATAATTAAATATTAATTAGTATTATTATTAATTGGTTAGTTAATTGGTTAAGCTTCTAACCTAATTAATTAATTAACTTTATTTAATTTAATTTATCTATTCTCTGTAATTCACAATAAATAAATTATAATCATAATACATAAGTTTATTAAAATATTCAATTTAATTTAATTAATATATAAATAAATTATGATATGTTAAATTAAGATGTTATATAATAAAATAAAACAAATAGAATAAGGTAAAAAAAATTTTTTTTAAAGATTATATACAATTTCTCACACATGTTTGTTTATTTGAATTTGAATAAGTATTGCATTTGATGTTTTTATTTAATTATAAAAATTTACATCTTAGAAAGACTTTAGCTGATTGAAAGCTATGATTACAGAAATATATGAAAAAATCTTCATTTAGTTTTTTATTTTTACACCAGGATGATATAACTATTAGTGTTAAATAATTAAAGTTAAAAAAAAAGTTTGGTAAATATAGTTATATATAAATTTGTGTTTTTGAAATTTTGAATAGTTTCTATTTATTTGAGTTATTATAAACAAGATAGGATAGGATTAATTTATTCATATTTCAACAGTACTTGTGTGTCCCTTGGTGAGAAAAGTCGATTTATTGGAGCTTCAGCCAAGCAACAACTGGTGACAAATTTTAAAAACACTGTGTGGGGATGGAAGCCACTGATTGGTAAAAAGTACAAAGACCAGTCAGTGCAAAAGGTTCTACCAAATTTACCATATGAAATAGTTGAAGAGAAGAATGGTGGAATTGGAATAAAAGTTAGTTCTTGTTTAGTGATTTGTGAAAGTGTTGGTATGCAAACCATTTGATTAAATAAATTCTTACTGGTTATTATTTTTAACTGAACTCACATTATTGTTGCCTAATTTGTCAAAAGTAATATTTCTCTAGCTTAGGAGTTAAGAATTTTTCTGAATCTATCTTATTTCTCTAATTTTAACATGCTCCTAAGAAGATTTTAACTTTCCACAAATAAGTTGTTCTAGACGTGAAAACTTTTCTTAGTAGGTATTTCATTCTATGCATTTAAAGTTTTTTTTAAATGTTTTTAAAATCTAAATTTCTAATTCAAAAATTACACTGAATTATAAGGTAATTATATTTTTGTTTATTTTACAAATTCGTTTCAGGTTTCCTATTTAAATGAGAAACGTGTCTTTTCACCAGAACAATTCCAGGCAATGATGCTAACAAAACTGAAAGAAACTGCAGAAAACAACTTGAAGTCAAAAGTTGTGGATTGTGTATTAGCTGTGGGTAGTTGTATAAATTTATTTAGATTTTTAGAATTTTTAACTTTTAATTTTTCTGATTATATACTACAGTACACACTTTTAAAACATTGATTATGGTATAAGAACAGCATGAATTTTAATGAATTTGTAATTGTCTTGTCATGCACAGGTTCCCTGTTATTTCACTGATATTGAAAGAGCATGTGTCATGAATGCTGCCTCAATTGTGGGTCTGAATGTTTTGAGGTTGTTCAATGAAACAACTGCTACTGCACTCAGCTATGGCATTTATAAGCAGGTGTATATTTTGAAAATATTAAATGAATGTTATATTTGTCATATTTTAATGAATGGGAATTAAACATTTGACCATTTGTTGAATTTATGTCAAAATTTCTCATGCTGAAAAATTAATGCTGTTTATTTAAAGGACCTGCCAGGTACAGAGGAGAAACCCAGGAATGTGATCTTCTTAGATGTTGGCCATTCGAGTCTTCAACTGTCTGCTTGTTCGTTCAACAAAGGAAAGTTGAAGGTAGATAAATATTTTGTCTTTGTATGTTCTAATGTTTCACTCACCTTACCCATTCCAATTCAGAATAATACATTACGTGTATTTCTGCATAAAACTATAAAATGTTTGTGTCGAAATGGTTGTTCTGAACGTTTACTACTTTTTTATATTTCCACTCAATTTCAAATAAGTAATGTTTGAATGTTTATTTTGGTAAAATACTTGTTCTATTTATTTTATGTAAATTAGTTTTTAAATTGTAGATTTTGAATAATCTTAGATGTTTTATCATTTTTTGCTTTTGGCTTTATTTTTTCAAGTTGAATTTTTTCCATATTTGTTAATTGTTGAACTATGTGCTGATTTATTTTTCTTCTTAGATGTTGGCTACAGTAGCTGATCCAGAGCTGGGAGGATTGTGTTTTGATAATTTGCTAGCTGAATATTTTATTTCTGAGTTCAAAAAGAATTACAAGATAGATGTTCATTGTAACCCGAGGGCCCATCTGCGTCTCGTGCAGGAGTGTGAGAGGCTGAAGAAACTAATGAGTGCTAATTCTCAAGAAATTCCTTTAAACATTGAATGCTTTATGGATGATAAGGATGTCACCGGTCGCATGAGCAGGGAACTCATGGAACAACTCTCCAGTCATCTCCTTGTGAAAATTGAAAAATATCTAAGGGATATCCTTGTTAATTCGAGTAAGTTATGTTTTGTTTCAATCTAACAACCTCTTGTTTTTTTTTTAATTGCGCCTATGTTTCTGGAATAAACTATGAATTTGGTTTAAAAAGGATAATAAAAATTATGAAGGTGGTTCGTTGTGTATAGTCAGCAAAAATAATATTACAACAACAGATCTGAAAAGTGAGGATATATATTCAGTGGAAATTGTGGGAGGGTCAACGAGGATGCCTGCCATTAAGGAGCTCATTAGAAAAGTCTATGGAAAGGACGCAAGCACCACATTAAATGGAGATGAAGCGGTTGCCAGAGGGTGTGCTCTGCAGGTACATTTCATAACATCTTACTTATTCAAAAGATTTTTTTAAGTCTTGATCAAGTTACATTAAATGTTGAAATTGTAATTAACTTGAAATTACCTTTGCAGTGTGCCATACTGTCTCCCAACTTCCGAGTGAGGGATTTTGAAATAACAGACACCCAGTATTATCCCATCAAGTTGTCATGGAAAGGCAGTCTTGAAACTGGAGAGTTAGTTCTTTTTCAAAAATTTATCACTTCAAAGTTTAGAAGATACTTTGAAAAAATAAGGCATTGTCAATCTACACATATTTCTTACCTTGCAAAGGAGCTTTACCTTGTATTCGTTATTATTTAGACACTTCTAGAGCAGATTGAGTGCTCCCAAGGAATTTTGTATGCTTAATGCATCTTTTAAACTATCTAATAATGGGACTGATAAATTATAATTTCTTGCTGCCCTTAAGTTTGGCATACTTGTTAATTTGGTTGCATATCACCTTATCATTTTGTTTAACTAACAAAATGTCATTTGCTTGACTCAAATAAAAAACATAAGCATCAAAAAGCATGTTTTCAAAAAACCAACCAGCACAAGCATGGAATCAATACTGTATGTAATACTTTATTTATGTTATGGTTATAGGAAAACAATGCAGCAATAATACTGGACACTGATGCTTTGTCAAATAAAATTGACATTTTTAGATGTGTTTAAAAGGTATTTTTTATTTTAGAGTGGACAGTATGGAGGTGTTTCCAAGATATCATGCAATTCCATTTACAAAGTTACTGACATTCTATAGAAGTGAACCTTTTACTTTGGAAGCTTCTTACAGTTCTAAAGAATTGCCGAAAGATAAACTGAATATTGGTTAGACTTTTTAAATTTTTATTTAAATTAAATCTAGTTAGCTTGTCTCAAAAGTCAATTGCATTTTAATTTTTTCAAACTTATATATATTTAACATTTAGGTAGTTACACCATTGATAAGGTAACACCATCTGCAAATGGAGAAAGTTCAAAGATCAAGGTAAAGGTGCGAGTAAACATTCACGGTCTTTTTGGAGTATCATCGGCTTCAATGGTTGAAAAGATAGAAACTGTTAACGAACCGATGGAAGTAGACAAAAGTAGTGGTGAAACAGCTGGAAACTCAAATGAGGCTCTTAATGCTTCTAAAAACAACTCTGAGCAGCCAATGGATGAACAATCAACGCCACCAGTTGAAGCTAACCAGAACAACAATGCTGGTCATCATCCTGAGAATTCAAATACTGAAAATCCAGAGGTCCTTAGCTGAATGTTTTGTTAAATTTTTTTTGAAAGTTTTTGCTGGCTTATTTAACCAACATTTAAGTGGTTGTTTGTGTCATTTCATTTGATCTCAGATTTTATAACAGTAATTTCGTTGCTATGCTGTAGCAATTTATTATTTTGTATTCTAGAAATGTATTAATTGTGAATTTATCTTGATTCATTATTTTTATTTTTGGAATTTATGACTGTAATAACTGGAGTGTTGATGCTCCATAAAAAACGTTGGTAACTTCATTTTTAGATGTGCAAAATGACTTAATTTCATTCAAATTAATTTCATAGTGACCATTAAAGACTTCCAATGTTGACACAATTGCATTTTCCCCTTCTGTTAATTCAGGCAGTTGCTGAGAAGAAACCAGAGGCTAAAAAGCACAAAGTGCGAACTATTGATTTACCTGTCATTCCATCAAACACCAACGTTAAATCTGTTGACTTAAACAAACTTATTGAGATGGAGGTATGCATTTAATTATCATTTTTATTGAAATTGATAACTCAATGTGATCACAAAAATGAGAAAATTAGATTTAAAAAATTGTCTTATCCAACACTACAGAATGAAATGGTAATGCAAGACAAATTAGAAAAGGAACGTGCAGATGCTAAGAATGCCGTTGAAGAGTATGTTTATGAAATGAGAAACAAACTTTGTGATGAATATGAAAAGTTCATGAAAGAAGAGGTAGGTAGTTAGTTATCCATCATTTTAAATCAGACCACGTTTTTTATATAGTTCATCATTTAAATCTTTGAGATGCTTATTGTAATGCAACTGAAATTTTTTGAAACAGGATAGAGATAACTTTCTGTTGAAACTTGGAGATACAGAGAACTGGCTATATGAAGATGGAGAGGATGAGAAAAAACAAGTCTATATTGACAAACTGGCCAAGCTAACTGTTAGTATGTTTGCATGAGTTTCTTTTTTGTCCAACTTTATTCTTTTCATCTGTTTTTCTCAGCAGTTAACTCACCTTTTAAAATTTCATAATGATACCACAAATTTGTAGGAAATAGGCAATCCGGTAAAAGAGAGGTACCATGAATCAATCAATCGACCAATTGCATTTGACAGACTAGCCCAAGCTATTCATTTGGTTGCAAAAGCTGTTGATGGCTATGCCAATAAGGTATTCACTCACTATACTGTTTTTTTGGGTTTACCATCTTTTTTTTAACCTTTTTTAATAGCACTTAATGGCTGAGAATTGGTTTATCATTCCAGCATAATGAGGTCTTTGTTATAATCCTGTCGACAAGTAACCTGCATGAGTTTTTTCATAAATATAATGAGGTTTCCTTTTACAATTCGCTCTTTAGTGTTTCTCAGAGGTATCAATGACCAACACATGGCACAGAGGGTATTTAAATGCAGATAACTCAACGTACCAGAAACATTCTAACCCACTTTTAGCAGCAGCAGTTTTAGCATCTTAACCATTGCACCATCACATCACTCAAACTTGCATTCCTTAGAGTTTCATTGCCTCTGTTTTATATTTTCCAATTAGTTTAGATTTCTCCAATTATTTTCATTAATACATGTTATTTTTCAGGATGAGAAATACTCTCATTTAGATGCAGCTGACGTTGAAAAGGTAAGAAACTTAGTCATTGAGAAACAGCAGTGGTTTGATACCCATCTTAATATCTGCAATCAACAAAAACCTCATGAGGTCCCAGCTATGACAGCTTCACAGATTTCAGCTCATGCTGATGTTGGTTAAATTATTAATTCATTACTTCATTTTAATACTTCAAAATATGTGAATAGATTTTTCTTAAATATACATTGTCGATCTTGGTTTATTATTGTAATTTCTTTTTATTAAAACGATTCAGTCTCTGTGGTCATCATGCAATCCAATCATGAACAAGCCTAAACCGAAACCAAAGGAGGAACCCCCAAAACAATCAAAAAAAGAAACTGAAAAGCAGCAGACTAATGATAATAACAGTAATGCAAATGGCCCAGATGTGAACGAGCAGCAGAATGAAGCATCTCCTCAACAAGATCAAAGTCAGGATCCATCAGCTACGAACCCAGACATGGATCTAGATTAGAACTTATTTATGGATTATTACAACGAACTTATATGTATTTGTACGACTATGTCATGATTTTCACTAGGTGTTATTTATATCAGACATTATTATATTATTGCTGTTATTGTTGTCTACTGGCTAAATTATAAATTACATTCTTTGAAGCTGATTCAGCATGATGAAGTCTCAAATTGTTTAGCACTAACTTTAATACAAGCATCATTTGGTAAAATGGCTAGATATTGCATCTCAAAAATTAGATATTTGGAAATTGTGGGTTATTCATGAAGTAAATTCACCTGTTTGATGATGAATACCTATTGTTATGACTCACTCGTTTATAGGAGTAAGTTTAGAGAATGAAACTCAAAGTTTCAAAACATCAGCTGCTTATTTAAGTTTGCTGTGCTATGTGCATATTTTTTATGTGGTACATCACTCTAAATAATATGAATTTTTTTTAATTTGGTTAATTTTAATTTCTAATCAATACATTCTTTTGTGTTGACTGTTAATACAATAATTTAGAGCAATTATTTTTTGTGTCAAAAACAAATTGATTTACTACAACTAAATTTAGGAGAACAAAAAGCGAAGTTTTGTCAGATGGATTTTATACAATCATCTCTAGTTCTTTTGCATATTCAATTGTTTTTTCTGCCAGTTCAGTTGAGGGCACCAGATCATCCACTCTTTCAGGTCGATGGAATACAAAATAATTGTTTTCCAGTTTCCAATTTTTCTGTTATTGATTAAATTAAATGATTTAACATCCAAATTTATAGAATTAAATACATGTTGAAATAATTTGTCAAAATTAAACTGCATCTCTGAAGCTGAGGTTACAATATGCAATGTGTAATAATATCAATCAATCTTTCTTCGTTTAGCGTCCAGAGACCCAGTTCCCCGAGGTAGGACGTATAATAATAATAATAATACTATCACTTGTGAATTCTGGAACTAGAATTGTGGGCAGGACTGTAATAAGACATCATTTTAAAATACAGGACAGGTATTTGTATATAGAGAAGTGGTAGTTGATGCAGTCGTGGAAAGAAACAAAATCAGCAACTGGGGATCACATAAATTATATTATATATCAGATATGGTGTGGGGCTTCTTGGCTGAATATAATTTATTGAACGCAATAATAAACGAAAATTACAGAAAATAATGGTGACACAGGTTCACGGAGTTTTTGCAGCAGCCAATGTCTGTTCCTTGAGCTGTGGCCCGTGCGCATAAATTGGAATGTTCCTAACAGAACAATGCATTCGTGCACGAGGTTATTAACGTATAAATAAATTCTCACAAAGGGAATAGGAAAAAATGAAAAATTTAACGTTTTTTGCGTAGTTAATTGCAGCATTGGCTGAGTCTAGAAAGAGCATCCTGGCAGCCTCCTGGACGTTGAGACGCTCATAAGCCTTTTCAAAACATTCTGCAATCTCCTTCCTTTGAAATTAGTTTTGTTCAACAAACATTCATTTAACAAAGCAACAATATTATTAGATTAACAATGAATCTCAACGACACAATAGAATACAATATATATAGTCCAAAGTTCGAGCTGATTAACCACCGTTTCACGAGAGTATTTTTGTCTATACTTGGACTGCGAGACGGTATAGAGGTAGAATGCTGTGATCGAGTTTGAATGAAAAGAAATCCGCGCGCATCATACGCTGTTATTTCAAACACGCATGAGCGTCCGCTGTTTGTAAAAACTTTGAAAAGCGTCGTCGAACACTACGAAAATGGCGATAAACAAATTATGAGGATGGATTAACTAAATTCAGAGCACACAAAACCTTTCGGAAACAATAAACTAAAAATATAATTATTTGTGAACCAGAAGCGAATGTTTTTGAGCTGTCTTGATTTTTGAGCTTAGAAAAAACCATCTCAACCTGTACTATTTCTATCACTTGTATTGAGCAAATGTTTTGTTTTATATGATGATTATTACGGTTTGCAGTTAATATTATAAGATATCGCAGTGCCAAACTTTAATTGCGATTAAACAATAAATTTGAGCTGATAATTTCTGGAAAAAAGTATAACTCCATATACATAACTTTCTACACACGTGTAGTTGACTGCTGATGGCACAATGAGATGCCAATGTTCAATAATTTGATTTATGAGCTTCTTCAAAGAAACTTCTGAATTTGTTTTCTACATTCTACACAAAAACTACTTGTGTGCGCGTTGAAAAATTTTTTAATTTGTTTTCTATATTCTACACATGTGCCAAAATACTAAATTTTAAATAAAAAACTCTTGTTTGCTAATAAGTTCCAGTTTCCTCCCGTCACTTGAAAAATTTTAAATATTCAACATCAACTCTGTATCACCACCATCATTGGTGCTTAGCTGTATAGACCAACTAGAGAAGACTGGCACGTGGGCAGGTGTCCAGCAAATTATTATTACATTACTACTATCTGCAAAAAATCAACACTTTTCAAATTGAGTTATTTGGAAATCGTTTTCTAGCCCAATTTAGTATGGAATAAAAAAGAAAAAAGGTCGAAAACACACCTAATAGTTCAAGCAAAAATGTCCATGAAAAATGTGTAGTCGGCTGATGTACACTGTCTCTTTGCTAGAAAAACCTAATTTAAAAAAGTAATTAAAAGTTTTACATACCAACATTTAAATAAGCTGAATTGAAGTCTATTCGTAGAGTTCTAATTTATTCCAAAACAAATGATGAAACATGGTAGGAATTCTACCTGTTCCTAACAATATTTTTCAAAAATATAACGCTGGAGACATCAGGAACAACAAACACTTTAATAATAACGTGAGTGGGTACAAAACTGAAACTTTGAATCAAGTGCTAACTGAAAATTTCTTTCTTATAACACCAAGACACAGGAAAAGGTGTTAAAAAATAAAAACGTGGGGAGATTTTGTACTTTTGTAGTTAATAGTGCTTGAGCAAATAATTATTTTTCTAGCAAGATTTTTTAATGTTGAAAACGATGTTTGTATTTTAGATGTATGAAACTGGCTTAAATAGCCACCAGTTTACTAGGGAATGTTGTGAAAATATGTCAACATTTCAAGAACAGTAGATCAATTTAAAAAAGTGCAAAGTATACAAATTTCATGTTAGAACAGGCAAAAAAGTTTTTCTAAGAAATATCTACTTCTAGATCAAATAAATTTTTTTTAGTAATTCTTTTCAACTACAAAAAATTTCGTTAAATCGACATGAGAATAACGTCATCCTTATGTTGAAAAAAATTTGTATTAAAATAAATATTTTATCTAGCAAACAGGTGAGGCTCTGTGCAAGCAATACCTAACGCTTTTAAAGGGGAGATTTAGTTGCAGGTGGGTACAAGGGATTTGAAGATTTTTTAGTTGTTACATATCTTTTTACAGAAAAAACTGAAACGTTTTTTAAATTTATTTTTAATCATTTAATGTAGCTCATGAATTAAAAAGTATTGGAATGTTTATAAAGTCGGATCAATGAAGATTCAAGTACAGTTATATTACACAGTTGAATGAGAAAATTGAATGGATATTACTATTAATGTTATCACCACTACTACCTATATTGCATTTTTGAATAATTTACCTTGTTGTAGCTTCCTTCCATCATGTACTGCTCTATTTGAATTGGGTGTTTTATGTAGACGCTATTCTTCAAATCATCACTTTTCAACCGTTCCAATTCCTTTTCAACGAATTAATATAATTGAACCGGGTAAGTAAAAAACCAAATAATATGGTCACTGATATAAACCATACAGTCACAACACATGTAATTTAGTATAATGTGCAACTTATGAAAAACATTTTAAATTACTTTCCAAACAGCAGATGAACAATTAAAAGGAACAAACTGCTTTCAGTAGAGATACTTAAATTAAGCAAACAGACAATTATTAAGACTCAAATGAGTGCTTAAAAGGTCAAAGCTATACTTCGATGAAACGAAAATTAGCTTTAATAACAAAAAATTCAATTAATAAGTTTACAGTTTAATCTAAAAAATTAAAAAAATATGTCAAGAGTGTTATTTCAAAAGAGAAAAAAATGAAATATGTGTTTTCATTGATTTGTATTTGAGCAACTTAATCATTTACAGATTTTCTAAAATTACATACATACATACATATGAACAATCCTTTTTCAATAGCTATCTACTACACAATATCATAAAAAATAAATTACTTGAAAACAAAAAACATTTTTTGTCCACATGAAACAAAATCATCATGCTAACAATGTCTATACTTTAATATTCAGCTGGTTTGATTGATTTTGTAGAATGCATATTAGAGTGATCAAGTTAAATTATGGAAAAAAATTATTGAGAGAGCCAAGTGAAGCACAAAATAAAAATTTGTGATAAACGGTTATGAAGAATCAAACTTATAAGAAATAAAAATAGGAGAAATAAGAGAGAAGTGAGTTTCAAAATATAAAAAGGGATGATCAAGAATATGAGAATATGCACACAAAGCTACAAAGCCTTAAACTCACAAGCACCTCACCAAATGACCTAGGCCTATGATTTACTAAATTTCAGGCAGATAGTATTCAAGTTAGGTAATCATACAATAACAACTCAAGACATGGCTCTTCTGCCTCCTTAGTCACCAACAAATATAAGGTGCTACATTCAATGAATAATATAAAGAGAGCTGATCTATAAACCAGATATTGATGATACAAAACAACTCAAGAAAAGTTAAAAATGAAAAATAAAATCAAAATCAAAAAATGCAATTGATTTGAATATGTGTTATCAGATTATTTGATTACAAAACCTTTCTTACTAACGGTATGAAAGTCAGACAATTTGTTTTCTGACAACAACCTCAACAAATTCAAGCCAAGTAGCTGTGCTTTGTATGGCGATTCCATAAGAGATGAATTCCTTCAAAATTTCAATGATGGGTAGTATTTTAATGCATTCCTTCATTAATAAATCAACGCTCATTGCACAAGGGCCGGGTAAATTTAAAAAGATTGAAAAATTTGTTTATCATCTATAAAATTTAATGTGAAAAATATGTCATTATAATTTTTATAAAAATGATTCTCCTTTTCACTAAATAAAATTATCTCATGATTCATTAACCATGACATGTATAGAAAATTTAACTATACATGCTCAACCAACTCTGCCTCTTTTTTCCTATTTTTATTCAATACAAATTGTTATTCCACATTTCGGTATGTATGTGGGAATACTTGGTTCACAAGGGAACCAGCGCGATTGATTACTTATAGGTCAGGGGAACATAGATCGATGATAGACTATATATTGGTAAGGGCCAAACATAGGAAGTATGTGAAGAATGTGAAGGCGATACCTGGTATGTTGCAGCATAGTATGGTTGTGATGGATATGACATCAAAAGAAATGGGGAGGAGGAAGAAGGATAAGTTTGTGGCAAAGAGAAAGACATGGAAGTTGCAGGATGCAGAGGTGAGGAAGGCATTTGAAGTGAAGGTGGCTGAAAATTGGGAGAGTGGTAAGGATGGAGATGTTTGGGAGAGATACAGGGACTGTGTGTTGGCTACGGCAGATAAAGTATGTCGATGGACGAAAGGAAAGTGTAGGCATGGCGAGACGTGGTGGTGGGATGAAGATATAAGAAGGGTTTTGGAAGTCAAGAAGGAGAGGTTAGGGTATGGAGAATGGACATGATGGAGGAAGCGGAGTCTGAGTATAGGAAGGCTAAGAAGGTTGCAAAACAGGCAGTGGCAACTGCAATGACGAAAGCATCAGATAGGTTAATGAAGGAAATGGAATTTGATGTGAGTTCGAGGTAAATGTTCAAAGTAGCAAAGCAGTCAATGAGGGATAGGAAAGATGTTATAGGGAATAGATGTGTTTGGGATGGATCTGGCAAGTTGTGTATAGATGAGGAGGAAAAAGCTCAGGTGTGGAAAGCTCATATGGAAAGGTTGATGAATGAAGAGAATGAGCGGGATGGAGATGTGGAATCCGCGGTCACACACGGACCTATAGAGAAGGTGACGATGGAGGAAGTAGAGAAAACAGTTAGAGAAATGAAACTAGGTAAGGCGACAGGGGTTTCGGAAGTGGCGGCAGAACATATAAAAGCGAGTGGGGTGATAGGAATTGAAGTTATGATAAGAATTGCTAACAGTATGTTTGATGATGAAGGTATACCTGAGGATTGGCGACACAGTGTGTTGGTGCCGTTGTATAAGGGCAAAGGAGATGTGAGAGATTGTGGGTCATATAGGCGTGTGAAATTGCTAGAGCACGGAATGAAGGTAGTGGAGAGGGTGCTTGAGAGGAGGTTGAAAAATATGGTGACAATTAATGAAATGTTGTGTGGGTTTATGCCTGGTAGGGGAACAGTGGACGCGTTGTTCATGGTGAGAATATTGCAGGAGAATTATAGAAAGAAGAAGATTGTACATGTGTTTTGTGGATCTAGAAAAGGCTTTTGATCGAGTACCGAGGAAGGTCATTGAATGGGCGTTGAAAAAGAAAGGAGTGAATGAGAGACTTGTTAAAGCTGTGATGCAGCTGTATGAAGGGGCAAAGACAAAGGTGAAGGTTGGAAGGGGGATGTCGGACGCTTTTAGTGTTAAGGTAGGAGTGCATCAAGGATCAGTGTTATCACTGTTTCTGTTTGCAATTGTGATGGATGTTGTGTGTGGAAACATAATGGAGGGGTTGTTATTTGAGATTTTGTATGCAGATGATTTAGTCTTGATGGCTGATAGCATGGAAGAATTGCAGTTAAAATTTGACAGATGGAAAAGTGTTATTGAAAAGAAAGGGTTAAAAGTTAATATTGGTAAGACGAAGGTAATGGTGAGTGGGGAAGGTGGGGAGCAAGTGATAAGTAAAATAGACCCCTGTGGGGTATGTGACAGGAGAGTGAAGGCTAACTCGGTATAGTGTATAGGATGTCAGAAATGGGTGCATAAGAGATGTAGAGGTGTGAGAGGGGCACTGAAAAAGGTGGAAGGCACGTTCAAATGTAAGAAATGTGTTCATGGTGTGATTAATATAATAGGACGGACTCAAGGACGGGGTTGAGTGGTGGTATTGAAAGAGTGGAAAGCTTTGTTTACTTAGGAGATAAGCTGAATGCGGATGGAGGATGTTTGAGCGCAGTTACGACTAGAGTTCGTGTGGGATGGATGAAATTTAGGGAACTGGGTGGGGTATTGTGTGGAAAGAAATGGTCAGTGAAGATGAAAGGGAGGGTATATAAAGCATGTGTGAGAGCAGCGATGGTATATGGTGGTGAAACTTGGGTGTTGAGGAGAGAGGAAGAAAGTGTACTGCAGAGGACTGAAAGAGCTATGGTGAGGATGATGTGTGGGGTTAAAGTGAAGGATAGGAGGAGTAGTACAGAGCTGATGTCAATGATGGGACTGAATGAGGACATTGTGACATTGATAAGGAGATCAAGATTGCGGTGGTATGGACATGTGTTGAGATGGGATGAAAGGGTCGGGATTAGGCGAGCGTTGGAGTTCGAGGTTGAAGGAGTGGTAGGAAGGGGTCATCCGCGATTGGGATGGAGAGAGCAGGTGGAGAAGGACAGGGTGAAAGCGGGGTTGCGTGATACTAAGGCGAGTGCCAGATGTGGATGGCGTCGAGGGGTATTTCGGTTTCATCATAGGTAGCCAAACGGCAACCCCCGATCTCGGGGAAAATGCCGTCTAAACGTGTTTTGTTGTTGTATGTGTGTATATATGTATGTATGTATACAGATATTTAGTAAAAGTATGTTCAATATCACACTAGTGTACAAACAATCATTCCTATATCATTATAACACTTCACACTTTTCACTCATCTCCACTCATGCCTACTGCCAACAAAACTATCCTATTTCCACTTTTTTATTCTATATTTCATAATGTTAAACATGCTTGCATGTTTAGCATTCATTATCTTTATTTAGAATTTCTCAGTAAATAACAAATAAGCGTGATGGATTAATATCAATTGGAATAATTGCTGACTTTCTGGAAAACATGAAAACTTACTTGCATGTAAATAAAGAGGTGCACATTATATAAAAAGGTTTAAAATAAATCAATTATTAATCCTACAATAGCCCAAAATGTAAGAACCAATCTTCATTTGCTTAACAGGACTTTCTATAAGCAAGCTGCACTATCTCATTTAAACAATTTACATTGAAAATTTTCTTTGTCAAAAATCAATTTAGTCTTAATTTAATTAGTGCAAAATGTCAAAGTTGACAACATTATTATTTAATAATTAAGTCACCTACTTTCCTGACCTTATTTGAGACAACAGAAAAATTTAGTTTAAATTAAAAGAAAATATATATTGAAAAATTCTGAGAATTAAATTAACAAAGCATATAATAAAATATATTAAATGAAATTACACTAACATGTTACTTAATTTGCCATCACTTTTATAGTCTAGGTAATAGCATTTTAATTGTGCCATGTATCTTTCAAATAAATCTTTGTTTTTCATAGCTATGGCCCACTGAGCACCTATTTCTAACGTATCTCCTAAAATGGAAAATGTTACAAAATGTTTAAATAATGAAAAAAATTATGTGGATTATTGGAACAAAAATTGAATTATTGAAATAAGTGAAAATAATAATATAATCTTACTCGCTGTTACAATGTGCTCAATGTTTAATGTAGAACTCTGAGAAGGTAAGAAATCAATTTGATACTCAACCAAGGTGACCTATTGTGTCGGTTGAAGTGTTATGTATTGTAATGTGAGGAAAATTATTTCAATTTTTTAATTTTTTTATGAAACTATTTTCATTTCAATTAGTTAGTTTGCCTAATCCTTTCTCAACATAAAATATTTAAAAAAAATGTTAAAAATAAAAAAAGCATGAAGTCGTCATATTATTTTGTTTCTGTGTCAAAACTCATCAACATATTAGATCTGTTTCTGTCAAGTCAAAACTCAAAAATTTATATTAGAATAGAAAAAAAGCCGAATCATGATGATGGGCGATAAAACAAACCTTCAACTTTTCCAGCATCTTACCACATTCGTCCAGATTAACCGGCTTTTTATTCCAAATTTTCATTAAATTTGAGCACATCTGAAACAGAACGTTTATATTTTTTGCTTCCGACATTTTATTCGCAGCGGTACACAAAATGAAAAAGTCCAACAAAAAACCTATTTGCAAACACAACAACGAAAAGACGTTGAATAACAAAACCATAGACAGTAAACTTATTTCGTACATTTATAATAGTATATTCCATATAATAGTATATTCCATACATAGAACATCTCATAAATGATTGATTATTAGACTGACGTCATTATATAGAATATAACATTATATGTGACATAGTATACACTCTATATATATGACTGACGTTAACGATTGAACTACACAGGGAATATCGTACATTGCATTTTTGTAAGTAAATTGCCTTGCGAGGTTACCTTCGTTATGCTTAGCTTCGGCATTCGAATAGGTAAGCGGAAGCAATTTCAAGAAATACGTGCTTAAACGTATTACACAAAATTTAAATTAAATAGCTACTGGAGTTCGTGTTCGGCGATCATGAATTTTTTAAATGGAATTGTCCTGTCTTGTCTCTTTCATTATGCTCTCTACTGGAAACAAGAGAAGCGGTCATGCATCCATTATAATCGATGCATGGGAGCTACAGAGGATGATCGTTTGAAGCGTACAGTGTAATGACGTATTTACTTCCAGGTGACTGCTCAGATTTCGCTTCATACATGTAATTGAATAGAGCTATCGATAAACGACAATTCATGACCTTTTATTCATAAAGATATCTACCCTAAACTACCCTTCTTAGTTAGCAACTGTTTCAATGCTGTTTAGTTTTTCGTACTAATTACTCAACCTCTGGTTACCAACTTCTAAAGATGTCGACATGCAAGACTCAGAAGACACTTTTGGCACCTCTTCCTTTAGGCAACCAATAAATACATGATCCCACGTACATTTAAAGAGGGGAAACACATAGCATCTTATTAAACACAACAACAAGTAATAGTACTTTATTTTATAATTTACAACGCAATTTAAAAGCAAATGTTCAATTTTATCAACATCTTCTTTTCTTTACAATTCCTTGAAAATTGGTCTTGCACCTGCAAAAAAAACCTTAAATGTATATCACGTCGTTTATTAAAGGAACATGCCCTTCCGGCATTTTCAGTTTGTACTAAAGCAGCATTGACTGTTGAAACGATTTATACTCACCTTTTATTGATCATTTTTGCATCTAATGGATAGTAAGTATAGGGCTCCAGATTCCCTTTGAGTTTATCTCCTTTACTTTTCTGAAAAATAAAATAAATTTCAAAATGTTAAGATTGATATACCATTTATTATCACTATCTGATTATACAATTTGTAAGGTTAAAGTTTTAACAGAAGTCCGCGTCTGTCAACTTATCCCATCTCAGTCCTTCTAACTACTGTTTGCTTGGTCATTATCGCCCTTTGAAAATACTATCAATAATTCAAAAAAAGACAGTAATTTACACGCAATTAGCTTAATTTTCAATGAAAACTCTGAAAAATTATTAAAATGCAATACAATGATGCAATAAAAAAGAGTAACAACTTTGCAGGTTCCGAAATTTTTTCTTGGTAAAGTACTTTTCTTCTTTGGCTTTTCCTTTTTAATTGATCGATGAATTCCCTTTCCTCCAGCTTAATAGATTGTATAATAAATTGTCATTGTACTTATAAGCGTTAATATTATTTATATTTAGTTGCAATTTGATGAAAAAAGATTCAAGGCCCGTCTCTTCCTGGGTTCAGAGGAATCAACAACACACAAACAGCGTGTGTGATTGTGCTAAGCGACGCACGACATACGAAGCATGTAATAGGTGGGCATCTTTTTGCAATATTCGAACCAGGTCACTCCATGCACTGCAAAGCAGGCGATCTTAACCACTAAGACATCACGCCGCCCATAATGCCCATCATGATATCAATCGATTAATCAATCCTCCTCAGCTTGGATATGAGTTTGAATGAGTTTGAAAAATGCCCATCATGATCGCAAAATGAAATAAGAAAACAATTACGTTTGTAAGATGATTTAGAATAAACTTCGTTGTCAAAGTCGTTGTCATCATCATCTTCATCATCTGTGACGTCATTTTTTCTTCCAATGGATATTTTTCTTTTTCTTGTCTGTATTGAGAAACATCGATGCTTTAAGAGAGAGACATGCAAATGTTAATCAAAGATATTGCGGCGAAATAGATGAACAAGAAAACGTTAAAAAAATTGTTGAAGTAGGACTCCTTCCATATCTATGTTAATTTTTTTATTTCTAATACCCTTCTTATCAACAGTGGGGATATAATATCCTCTGTCTACATAGTTCCGTGCAAACATACAAATCCAACATAACTCAGTCCAAACTACAAAACCAGTTTAGGTTATAAATGTTCTTAAAGCAATATGGACAACAAACTACTGAAACTAAATAAAAAATAAATGATAGAAGTGTGCAGACGTTGAGACCGACCTGAACGAAGCAACGAAAAATGGGGACCTCCAATTATTTAGTGGAGGTATCAAATTATTCTAAATGTTTAATTTTTAGAATTTGTAGGTGGTTATTCCATAATTTTTTTAAACCAGCGTCTAATCCTTACCAGCCCACCTGCACCATTGTTACGCATACAGTCAGTTCAAACTAAAATGCAGCCTCTAAATGATCAAAAATATGTAGTACATAAAATAGTTCTTGCGTATACTTACACCTATGTATGAAACATAATCATCATAGTGTGCACGTTGAAATGTAATTGCAATCAGATAAGTGAAGTTTAATTTAAAAACAGCTCATGCAAAATTGCCTGATAGAAAAGAATTAATTTTTCCAACCTTTGTACCAGAATCACCAGGAAGGTTTACAGCATCTTTAACATTAATCTTCAATTCTGAAAGTTTGTATGGTAATATTATTGAACAGTTACGACTTCACATTATAACATCATTGAAAATAACAAATAATAGTTAATCAATTTTTAAACAAACATATAAACATTATTATCAGACTTCCTTAAATAAGTTAAGGGAAAGTTTAATTTTAAAAACAGAAAATTGACCTACGTAACAAGTTATACGCCAATAATGCAGTTAAAACAGTTTTCCTCAATATGATTGAAAAACATTTTTAATTACAGCTATACTGATAAAAACCTTGAGCCTCCTCACTGATGGGAATAATGAGTCTGCCATCTGGCATAACTTTGAAGTAATCCTTGCTGTTACTCTTCTTCTTCATTTTCTTCAAGTCAGAATTTGAGTCTGAAAATAACAGATGATTGAATAAATTAATGAGTTTTTGAATATCATCAACAATGATACTATCTAACTTTGATACTATCAAATTGATTCAAGAGCAGTAAAAGTTGGTTTAAAGAATAAAAATTTTGCAGCTGCATCAATTTTAATCTTGCAAATAAAAAGAACCACTCTTTGTCAGCAAAATAGAAAAAGCTACTCCCAAAACACTCTGCGTTATATTCTTAAGAATAAACTTCAAATAACTTCTTGTAAGGTCATTTCAATTCTCAAAGCTTTCATTTCGTCATTAAGAAAATCTTAAAAGACAGTGCAACGTGTTAATGCTTGCTATTATTTCCCAAAAGACAACCAGTCCAACAGTATTGGGGCAAGCAAAAGTAACAGCAGAAACATGGATGTGGAAAGCAAGTAGTTGAAAAAAAGAGACAAAAGAATATAAAAATTAATTAAGTCAATTAAGATCAAAAGCTTCGGTCGTGACAAAAAAAAAGATGAAAACTTTTTGAAAAACCTAAAGTTTGGTACGACAAAACATCTCTCGCATGGTTAATTAAATAGAGCTTAGGTAGCCAGCCAGAGTTGGTTAGGTTAGTTAATTTAGGCGCAAAAGAATGCATCAAAGGTTTAATTTAAGAACATGTTTAAAAATTAATTATACTTACAAATAAGATTTTGATTTGCCGATGGGTCCAAAAAGTCAATGATTCCGTTATCTTCCTTTAAATAAAATTTGTCCTCCTGCTCGCTGTCGTTATCGGATTCATCATTTTCAGAGTCGGTATCCCTTAGAAGATCCTCAATGCTACAAATTTTTTAAAATTATTAAATTCTTAACAAAACATAAAAAATGATGGAACTCTTAAGAATGTTCAAACGGTTAACAAATGTTAAACAAAAAGACAGAAATAAAAAAATATCTGAAGCAAACACACAACACATTACACACAGTCGACATGCTGCATACCCGTTCTCTGATTTGTTTTCATCATTACGTTTCTCTTTCTTTGTAGATTTCTCAGTCTTCAACTTTTTTTTCTTATGCCGCTGCTCTTCCTTCCTGATATGATTGAGTATTCGATGGTGTGAGGCAGGAAGGAGCTCGTACAACACTTCAATTCTGAAAATGTACAGTTGGGTTGTGATTGGTTAGTTCAAATTTTATCATCTTAAAATATTTTCGTTTATAGTTAAAACCACAGATTTTAACTGACGCACTTTCATGCATAGGATTGCTTCATAGACAGTTGTTATTAAAAATGGAAAGAGCACTTAAAATAACAACTTTGTAAGTGGAAAATGTAAAAAAGCGTCATAAAAACGGCAAGCCAATTCATGAAATATTCAATATTAAACCTAAGAAAGTGATGATAGAAAAAAGTTGAAACCTCATAACAGGCTAGGATAAATAAATTGAATTTCTAATCGAATCATTGTGACGATTACTACAAATTAATCCGTGAAAACATATTGAAAAATTTTAAACTAAAAAAGCTGACATAATGACAACAATCAAATATAAAAACATTATTAACTATCAACATATCAACGATCAACAATAATAGAACATTCTTGCTATTTTAAATTACGTTTATTTCATTAGCTGTCTATAACATATTAGAATAAGTTAAATCCTATACGCTTTAAACTGATTAGTTGTGATTTCAAAAATTATGTTATTAATGGTTTAGTAGAAAGTTGTAGAAAAATGAGAAATTGCACAAGGGGAAACTAACCCAAACTTCCTGACCAGTATGATATACACTTCTTTAGATTTGAATCTGAAGTGATGTCTGTTGTCATCCTTCATGGACACCAAACTGCTGACCTAGGTTTTTAAAAGAATGCAACAA